TCATCCCTCTGAGACAATACAGAATACATGTCTCACTTTCCAAAGATGATATGTGTGTATTGTTTCAGGAAAGTGAGACAACACAAATACAGTATTTTTGGGTATTGAGATTCTGAGACAATACAAATTACAATTAAATGCCTGATACCATCTTGTCTTCTCTCTGTTTCAGTGTTGATATAGAATGTCGTCTGCTGTCTGAATATTCAACACAACTGCATAGAAGGAAAATGTAAGATAATAACCCAAACAGTCAAAAGGGAAGGCAGACAAGAAGGGACCACAACCAAAAAAAACAATCCAACAGAATTCAAAAAACAATTACATCATTAATGCCTGTGCACTAAGATTCATCAGGGAGCACATGATTCATTCCATGTTACCCCATTCCACCATTACTCAGGACATGTGGGATCAAGCAAACACAAAGTGCATGATCATATGGCCAACTGTGAAACAGATATGAGAAATTTACTCATATCAGATCATATTGTCTTTATTTTGAGCCTGATACCGGTATCAGTATTTCCTTGGTTGGTGAGAAAATCCAATGTCTCAGATTTGGATTTACAAATGAAAAAATTGTCTTTGTTTTTTTCTTCAATACAGCCAAATATCTTGTGTATCAAAGATTTTTTTGGTGGGATAAGTCATCTGAGACAATACAGAATACTTGTCTCACTTTCCAAAGACAATATGTGTGTATTGTCTCAGGAAAGTGAGACAACACGTCACAAATACAGCATTTTTGGGTATTCAAATTCTGAGACGATACAAATAAACACCTGATAATGTCTCATCTTGTCTCTGTTGCACTGTTGATATGGCATAAAAACATGCCCCCCATCACCACAGCTGATACCCTTTCCAGCCACCCCTTACAACCCATTCCTCCAATTACAATTCCTCTTCCAGCCACATCAATCCCTCATGATCCAAACTTCACCAGTGGTCCAACCACCCCACATGGCCCAAACTCATCACATCCCATCAACCACCCATCAAATCTGGTAGCAATTCTGAAAGGAAGCATAGAATTATATAATTCAACAAGCCCCTCACCCCCTGGTAACAACCATTCAAGAAGCTCAAGTGTATGCAATGCTCTAACACCTACAATCAGCTGACAGCTCTGCCCCCCACCCACTGGGACTCCACCGAGCTCCAATTAATTGTGGTCCCTGGAACACCAGGTTCTAACTTGTACAACAGTGGATATTGCAGTCAATATCAGGCTGGTCACTTATTCCAAGAACCTTGGAGTACACAAGCCCAATATCCATACCCCCACAATTCCCCAACCAAATCAGTTCACCTCCAGATGCCAAAAGGCCAAACTGTATACTTTCAAACTCCAGATTTTCCTGGCACACCCAGTTCTACCATTCACTATGGTGGATATCCCATTCAATATCAAACTGGTCACTTGTACCAAGAACCTTGGAGTATACAAGCCCAATATCCATACCCCCACATATCCCCAACCAAATCAGTTTCCCCTAACAACACCAAAGAAAAATCTAAACTTATCCAGTACCCCCAGAGATACCATAAAGGATGGGGGATATCCAACTGACACCCACACCAGGCACATGATCCATATAAGACCCACACATAGTCTCCTCCCAAAACTTATCAGACTGTATGCGGATCAGATTATCAATGTCAAGGGGGATGGACACTGTGGCTTCAGGGCAGCTGCATGCTTCTTGGGAAAAGGAGAAGCCAAATACATGGATATACATGTTCAAGTAGTGAAAGACCTGCAGGAAAGATGTCTTTACTAAAGCCAACAAGATTCAACCCTGGATGTTGATGAAACAATACACATTACCAATGTGACTGATCCACATCCATTCTCAGAAAAAACACTGGATGAACATGCCTTCCATGGGCAGACCTGTGGCCAATGCATTACAAAAAGCAGTATTTTTTTTATTCTAATTTGTGGTGTGAATCATTCTTTCCTGACTTTGCCCAGCCAGATGATAACCCACCCATAAATTTTGCATTAATACCTAGTGCTAGGCATTTTGTAGCCATAAACTTCAAGGATAAATCTCTCTTCCCTGTCCCAAGACCTGAAGGCACATATGGTATACCATTTTCTGGTGCACATAGTGCATGGCAAACCAAGTATTCTAGATACATTGCCCTGTAAAACTCTTTGAAACCATAGCTCTTTGTATGTTTATGTAGATAAAAAATCAAATCAATTTTGCCAGATCAGAACAGTGATACCTGCCAAATAAGACCATATTAAAAAACCATATGCCTATGTATTATTCCCCAAATCTGATCTGGCAAAATTGATTTGATTTTTTTATCTACATACACATACAAATAGCTATGGTTTCAAAGAGTTATACAGGGCAATGCATCTATAATACTTGGTTTGCCATGCACTATGTGCACCAGAAAATGGTATACCATATGTGCCTAAAGGTCTTGGTGCAGGGAAGAGAGATTTATCCTTGAATGTTATCGCTACAAAATGCCTAGCACTAGGATTTGAATTAACACAAAATTTATGGGTGGGTTATCATTTGGCTGAGCAAAGTCAGGAAAGAATGATTCACACCACAAATTAGAATAAAAAAATACTGCTTTTTGTAATGCATTGGCCATGGGTCTGCCCATGGAAGGCATGTTCATTGACATGCAGTGTTTTGTGAGCATGGACATGGATCAGTCACATTGGTAATGTTGATTGTTTCATCAACATACAGGTTTGAATCTTGTTGGTTGTAGTAAAGACATCTTTCCTGCATGTCTTTCACTACTCTATATCCATGTATTTGGCTTCTCCTTTTCCCAGGCAGTATGCAGCTGCCCTGAAGCCACAGTGTCTGTCCCCCTTGACATTGATGATCTGATCCACATACAGTCTGATAAGTTTTGGGAGGTCATTGATGTAACAAGGTTCAATGGGTGGATAGGATGGTGGGCCAATTAATTTACTGATATGTTGATTTGTAAGGATTGTGTTTCAATCCTTCACTGTCTGTGGGAAAAGGCACTAAAGATGAGCTCAATAGCTCTGGAGGGGATGTTTCTAGTATCAACATGGATTTATTGCAGTCTAGAACGGAGAGAAGAATATCTCATTAGTATATACAAGTGAAGGGAAATGAGAAAAGGAAATGGGAAGAGAAGGAAGGAAGAAAGCGTACTCACCAAGACTGGAGAGAAGAATCTCTGCTGTCTAGGTAAAGGGGAAGGGTGCAACTAAATACAAGGTGAAAACAGGCTTATGTAATCTTGTGACAGGTTTGTGTAAGCCTGTGAGGAGCAGGGCTTACATGATTATTTGGTGGTTCACTGCTTCTGTTGGTTTAGGGGGGGTTGTGAGCTTTTCTTTCAGTTGGTTGATCCTTGGGTGCCATTGCACCCACCAGTGGTTTGTTGCGTAGTTCAAGGGTTTTTTGAGGGTTTTTTGAGGATGATTTGACCAATTGTCTGTCATTGATGGGTCTTAGATTTGAAGGTTGAGCTCTGGTGGTGGGGGCTATTGCCACAGCAGCCAAGAAAATCACAGCTTGGAGAGACCTCACGCACTTCAGTGTCTCAGACAGGTGCTTGCTTCATGTGTGCAAGCCAATTGGGCCTTGGGGAGGCCACAGATTGACATTAAGGGAGTTCACATACTGCTGATCTTGAAATCAGCAGACAGACTTTGTTGGAATGGCTATTTTAAGGTTTATGGGAAAGCAAAATAGATCAGTGGGAGGTCCCCCTTTGGATTCAGAATCCCATATTTAAAGTTCATCAAGTTGGTGCATCAGCAAACAAATCTTGTTCAAGACCAGCAAAGGATTGGCTGCAACATGAACTGCCCTATTGAGCATTGCCAATGACTTGGGATCAGCTTGGAACAGCCCTGTGGATGAATGGGTGGGGTCCATGGAAAACTCTGGACCATCAGCTCCTGGTCGGACCCCCCACAGTGGTCACTCATGGGATCCACATGCAAAAGTGGAGTTGGACCACATCAAACTGTGCCCCAGGTGTATCTTTAGTGTTAGGCTTTGTTTGGCCAACCATGATTGTCATAAACAATCATGGCAAATATTTCGGGGGTGGACAGCTAATGATGGGACCTCACAATGGTGTTTGGGAGGCCACATCATATCCACTCTCTTATGATCTAAATGGCCAACAAGATGTATTCCCAGCCAAATCCAAGATTTTGGGTCCCCCCCAAAAAAACAAAACAAATTTTGCATCATAAGTGCTGTTTCTGTGCTCGCATCACCCTCTGCTTTCCCTTACAACAACACCATATTACCCCCCAGCTGCACACCACCCTCTATGACCAGCACAATGCCTCCCTGTCCTCCTAAACCACCATACTGATCATCCACTCCCGAGGTGCACCAAACAGCCACATTGTTATTGACATGGATTTTCAGGCTGCGTCATTTGCACAGCCTGAAGGAATCAAACCTAAAATCTGATTTCACGATTTGCAATGACAGTCTATGACAATTCTGGGTGGCCAAACAAAGCCTTTTAGATTAGTGTGAGCATCATGTGATCTTGTACCAGATTCCAGAACAACCATGGAAATTCTCTCTTGGTTAGTTTAGTAGTAGGGTAAGGTTAGACCCCATAAGTAAGCAGGGGTGACTGACAAGTCTGGCTGGCCACACTGGCAGGGTGGAACACAAGAGGTTTCTTTTGGACCTGGGGTTAGCACTTTGAGAGCCTCTTCTTGACTCAAATGTGGCCATATTTTTTATCTTTCATCAATCCAATGCAAGAATTACTCTGCTCACTTTGTAACCTCATGAGCAGCAGGAAGTATGATGTAAGTTAAGCCTTTTCATTTGAACCAGTTGATGCCAGAGCATTTAGGGGTGATGATAGCAACTTAATTGGGCTGAAAAGTGAAATGTGCCTGACCAAGTCGGAGTCCCATGTTTACCGATCGGTAGCTTGCCGATTTGATTATGTAGTTACATAAATAGATTAGGAGCAGCTCCACAGGAAAAGCCCAACAACAAAACCACCACTGACCAAAACCAACCAACCAACAACCAACCAAAAAAAACCACCATCGACTATCGAATATCGCAAAACTCTCATGTCAAACCGAGAAGCTCATCACCAGTCTGGCCTACAACCACTCTCTCAATCCTTCTTCAACTCACACTATCAGCAACAACAACAACAACCATCAACATCACAACAGCATCAACATCAAAACGAGGCATCGAATAGCTATCACCATCCAACTACCAACACAGGACCATCACTCTCCCGATTCCTATCTACATCAATCATCAATCCGATCTACAGATCAAGACTATTCCCATCAACTGTCTCAGAAAACCCGCTCTTCTACTCAACCAGAGAGGGATACGAGAACAGCTTAGAGGATGAGAACGATGATATCCTACCAGATCAAGATGACCATCGACTCCTTCAGCAGCTCCACTCAGATCGAACCAGGAACCCAAGAGGGATCGATGAAGGACTCGAGGATGACGAGTTATCATTTGAGCACCACCAGTCAACCTCACAAGGCAAACAGAGAGGCCCATCAACCAGCCACATTAACCTCATCAACTCGGGGCCCTTAGATCGTCTCCAGAACCACTTTCATCAATCACATCAGCAGACCGAACAGGAGGATGATGAAGACCCATTCTACGAGCATCAGGATCTGATCAGCAGCCACCACCATCCGACACTACCTGAGGACCGTTTCGAGCCCCCACTGCCTCGCCATCTCATGGCCTCACACGCACTCTCCAACCTCATCGCCTCCGAAATCTCGTACGGAAACCATTACATCCAATCCGTCCAGAATCACCAAACAAATTACTCGGATAATCCGCAGAATCCCGTCGGATGGAAGATGTACCAATCTCTCGGCCCTGGCTCGATTCTCGCACCACCACCACCACCGCCCCCGCCCTCTCTGCAGAAACCGCCAGCCGCCGGTCCTTCATCCACCTCCCACAACGAATCTGCCCCTCCTTCCCAGCCGATTCCTGAGCCGCGAATGAGCCCCTCCGAGCTGACTGAACGACCTCCGGCACGACAGGCTGACCGGCCGGTGAACTCGGGCGTCGAGGGAACCCCAGAGGCCTATCCGATGGCGCCGAACGAATACGCGGACGGACAACCGACGGTGTACATCTATCCGACCGAGGCGCGAGATATAGGCTCGGACGTCTCTGGCCAGTCCTCGCTGGGCCCACAGAGCTATCGGGACTCGTTCTGGATCGGCGCCTGGTTGAGCTCGTTACTGTACGCCTTCGGGGAGGCCCTGTTTGTTTTCTTCGGTTCCTCGGGACAACCGCAGTCTGAGGAGGGGGATCCGAGAGCGGGGAAGATGGCGGGCCTGGCCAAGGGTCTGCCGATTCTCGCCCTGCTGATCACGATGACGTTCGGGATTAGTGTGGGATCGATGAGTCTGTTGATGCTCGTCAAACGGTCGATCCGATATCTCGTGTATGGGGCGATGGTGGGCGTGCCGAGTGTGTTAGGGATGGTGGGACTATGGACGTGGACGGAGGCGGTGGCTGATTCGGGGCGACGCGGGATGGGCTGGGTGAGTGTGGCGACGGTGTGCACGGCAGGAGTATGGATGCGGATGATGTGGGTACAGCGGGGCCGGCTGGAGCGGACGATCCAGGTGCTGACGCTGGCGGTGAGCGTGCTTGTGGCCCATCCCAGTCTGGTGATGGCCTCCGTCGGCCTGAGCATGGCCTGCATCCTCTCCAGCATCCCCTTCCTCACCCTGATCCTCAACCTTCTCCTCCGCAACGGCCCAGCCGCCCAACCTACCATCTCCTCCTCCGCCGCCATCCATGCCCTCCTTGCCGGCTTCGTCTGGTCCTGGTCCCTCAACGTCCTTAGAAACCTCCAGCGGATCATCGTCGCCGGCGTCGTCTCTCATTGGTACTTTAATCGTCACTCCCCTCCTCCGACTACCAAAGATCAACATCGAAACGGCTACTCTTCCCTCGATTCTACTTGCCAATCTATCTCCCGTGCAATTGGCCCTTCATTAGGAACAGTCTGTCTTGCCAGTTTCCTCTCGACGATCTTCGACTCGGCCTCGAAAGTCTTCAAACTCCTTCACCGTCTCACCACTACCTCCACCAATACTTCTTCTTCATCGACTACTCCGCTGAGGATCTTTTGGGGGTGCGCTAATAATCTGCTGCTCGGATGGATGAAAATCTCGATCGATTTCTGGAATCGGATCTTCGACTTTATGAGCTCTTTCACCCTGATCTATGCCGGGATCACCGGCTTTAACTTCGTCGCTTCGTTCAGAAAAACTCAGGCTTTGGTTTTCAAACAGGCTCAAATCGGTCTCTTCCATAGTTCAGTCTTTTTTTCGTTCCCATCCCCCCTCTTTCCACTATGTGTTATTATGGTTCGAGATTCTGATTAGGGTTTGTAATCAAACAGATCTCTTGGTCAAATCGATCTTGAATTTAATCGCATTAACAATCAGCCTAACGATCTCCTTAATCGGCTACCAATTATATTCAACCTCATTATCATCCCCATCAAGTTCCACGATACCTTCTTCTTCTTCTTCTAAGTTATTGACAGCTCACACGGATCTTAATGATCCAGTCCATCATCAACAACAACAACACCAAGCTTTTGGCCCATTCATCTGGATCTTCTTCGGCCTGTTGCCTTTCTGGATCTTGCGTTTCTTGACCGATCTGATCGCTACTTGTGTTGATACTTTGTTAAGCTCTTCTTCTTCTTCTCTTCTTTTCTCTTACATTTATCTTGGTTTAATTTTGTTTTTCTTACTTTTTTGTTGTTTTAGGTTTCTTTGTTGGAATATCGACCTCGATATCGGCACCAATCATTCTAATCTAACGCGTCAAGCTGTTCAGTCACTTTCCTCTTCCTTTCCTTTTCATCCCCATTCCCATTCCTTTGACTTCCTCTTTTTCCCTTTCCTTTTTACAAACATACTGATTCTTTCTTTCTCTTTTTTTTTTTTTTAGTTCATTGGCAAATTGGATGATTGATAGAAATATGTTCAAAACTCAAAACTCAAATTTAAGCCATCAATCAATCAATCCTTGTCTTTATAAACTTGTCTTTTTCCTTTCTTTATCCCTGCATGATTGTTGTTTTGTATTTTTTTGTTGTATTTTTTTCATCTAGGGATTCCAAGAGGTGTGGTATAGATATATATATATACATATAAGAGGAGGACAAGAGTATATAAATGTAAACAAAGCAAAGCAAACAAATGTAACCCATGATTTAGAATCCTTCAAATTGTAATTGTATCAACCCTCTTCTCTTTTGTTGATGTTTTGTTTTTTGTGGTGACAGGAGGATGCATGTCCAGTGTCCCGATCTGCCAACAAGGGCAGGGAACAACTCTCTTACAAAGTGTTGGACTCTGAGACTTTCAGGCTCTTCAGGGCTGATTAGGCACACTCATGAACCTTGAAGCCATCCTGTGTGTGTCTAGAAACACGCAAACGGAGCTCACAAAGCACTGGCATCTTCTGGTGACTCATGATCACAGAGACATGTTGAACCATGGAGTTCACCAAAACATGGGTTGGTTTGGGGATGGCCGCCAGACCGAGAGGATAGAAGCGAACAAAGGATCGGGAGAGAGCAGGACTGTCCAAGCATGTGAAGAGGAGGATGGGGCAGATGATCAGAGAAGAGCAACAGAGTCGGATGGAGAACCTTGTGGCAGTGTGAGTGCCAAGAGTTTATCAGACGTTGATGCAATGGCTTGAATGCCTCCTTTGGCAGCATCATAAATTGAAGTGTATTATTCTTGCCATGTTGATTCAACAAAAAATAAACCACTCAGAAATATGTAATTCAATTTTCACTGAGGCAAGGCTGACTACTGAGTTCATGGTTAGTGTGAACAAAGTTGAGATAACGGGCTATGTACCTTCAGCACCTTAATACCACTATTACACTTTTGACACATATGGAGCATAATCTTGATATGATGGGGCTCAAGATGGCCTACAATATGAAATTTGCTCTCAGCTTTAATCGAAACAGTAGTTGAACTTGCACAAGTAACAATCTTGTCACATTTTTCCGATTGGTTTATTTTTGATGTAACTCATTCAACTGAATTAACTTTTTATTGAGGGGAGGGGGGGGGGGGTATTTTATTTGCTGAAGAAAACAAAAGAAGGAGTGGCGGATTGGATGGATTGAAGAGGAAGGGACGCTCTCAGAGAGAGAGAGAGAGAGAAGTGGAGATAGAGAGAGAAGGGAGGATAAGACAAGCAAAACAAAAGGCAAGGGATTGAACTAATCGAGGGTTCAAGGATGAAGACGTCTAGGATCTCTGGGGAACAAGCACGCCTTGCGGATGTTGCCGAGGCCGAAGAAGAGCATGACCACTCGTTCGAGGCCGATCCCGCCGCCGGCATGGGCAGGACAACCTAGCTTGAAGCCGTCCAGATATCCCTTCATCTCCTTCGGATCGATCTTCGCTTCTTTCATTCGTTCGATCAGCAGCTCTGGGGCGTGGATCCGTTGGGCGCCTGAGATGATCTCTTCTCCTCCTAAACACAATAAAATGACAAATCATTCTCTCTTTCTAGTCAGTTCCTTCTTCTTCTCTTTGGTTTTTAGGCTTCACTTCAAGGAGGATTTCACTCAACTCATGAAGAAATCGTAACTGTTACTCGACGTCTGTTTTACAAAAACAAAACACAAGTTCCATCTATTAGTATATACGCGTTCTCCAAAGCTACAATCAAGATGATAATTATGAAGACAAAAAAGAAATGATACTCAACTGGATCAACCGGATCTGGCATCGTGTAGAATGGTCGAATCGCTAATGGAAACTTATCAATTATATAATAATCTGTTGTTGTTGTTTATTATTATCATTATTTTTTTTTTTTTGGGGGGGGGGGGATGAGGCAGTCAATTTCTTTCCATGATCTTGTTTTTTGACGATTTGACCCCTCAGAAAGTGCGAGTTAATTGTTTTGCTTACCGGTTTGGTACTATTTAAAAATGTTGAATTATTATTTTTGGGAACAACAAGTGTTTTTTTGCCGAAAAAGAAAAAATGAATAAATCAGCAAGTGGACAAAAAAAGATAGGGATCAAAGGGTATTTGGACGAACTTTCTCCTTAATAAGTTTCCCAAGGATGCGTTCCTGTTCGGTGCCCATATCCTGACCGATTTGGATATCGATCCCATGATCGATGAGGATTTGGATGGCCTGACTATGTTGTAATCTGAGAGTCTTCTCGAGGAAGATGAAGTCGTCGACGGGATGTTGAGATTTGATAGTCTGGATCTCGGGGGCAGAGGAGGCTTGGAGGCCTTTGAAGATCGAGATGAACAGTCTGTCGAGCAGGTCTACGGCTTCATGGTAGTGTTCCTTGATGGCCATCTCGAGGTCGAGGCCGATGAACTCAGCTGTTCGATCGTCTCCACATCAGTCATTTCCTTCTCCTTTTCAATCAGTTCTAAGCGAAGTGGAGAATTGCGACTCAACTCATGTGTCGATAGGTGTTTGAGTTCTCGGCTCTGAACACAGGCCCGATCTCATACACCCGTTCGAAATCAGCGGCGATCGCCATCTGTTTGGCCAGTTGAGGCGACTGGGCCAGGAAGGCGGTTTGTTCGAAGTAGCCGAGTTTGAACACGCTCGCCCCGGACTCCGTCGCCGCACCCTGGATCTTTGGCGTGTGGATCTCGATAAAATCTTCGGAATCGAGGAACGTCCTGAAGAGGTTACAGACTCGTGATTGCACTCGGAAGATCGCTTGGTTCACTGGCGTCTTCATTTTTTTTTGTCGTTGGTCGCAATTCTTGTCAGTCAGAATAATCTTCTTTTAGGTATCCGTGTTGTCTTACTTACTCGCAAATCTAGGACTCGATTGTCTAATCGAGTATCTGTTCCAACTGTCACAAACTGTTCACCTTCCTGAAAAAGAAAATCACTTGCATGAGAGATTCTTCTGTTTTTTTTTTCTCTGTAGATTAAATAAGTGAGTGAATAAGTACCTTAGGGAGGACGTCGACAGGCCGACTAGCGTCTTCGAGCAAGAAGGGTAATTTAGCGGGGGCCTGGGCCAAGAGGAAGATCTTATCCAATTTGATCTCGAGTTTGGAGACCGAACAGGTCTTGATATCTTCGATCGGTTTCTGGATGACGCCTTCGACGATGACGATCGACTCTAGTGGGATCCCGATGGCCCATTTGATCATCTGTTTCGAGACACTCGTCTCAGTCGCCCCCAGGATCGCTTGGATCGTCGAGGTTTGTTGGCGTAAGACTAGGAATGATAACTTGGCACCTAATCATTCAGATCAATCAGTCTCTTCTGGTCCATCTTCTGACTGGCTGATGGTGTTGATGCTTACTCTGTGATCGTGAGTTATGGACTCGTGCTTGAATCCTAACTCGTTCTCCGACATGATCCGATTGAAGAGAACCAATCTTGACCCAATTAAGATCTACAGAATTCATCAATTAATCAATTTTGATCAGTACAATGATAATATGATTGAAATATGAGGGTAGAGTTGATTGGATCCTACAGTTTCGTTCTTGACTCATGTTCAGTGGTAGTTGACCATAGTTTTGGATAGCATGGTCGGGTTGATTGGCTTCCCTGTTCGCCCTTTCTTCAGCTTCCTTGGCTTCTCTCTCTTGCTTCTTCTTGGCTTTCTCCTTCTCTTTCTCTAGTTTCTTGAGTGCTGATTTCGATAGTGGTTCTGCTCCTTCTCTAAACAAAAGAACACCAAATCGATAGTTGTTTTAGCTTTCTTGTTTATTTTATTATTATTTTTTTTGATTTTTTTAGTTTTCTTTTTACTTACGGTGCTGGTGCTAGTGGTTCTGCTGGTGCTTGTGGTTGTTGTTGTTCAGTCATCTTGGGTCTGTAGTGGTACTGTTGTGGTTGGATGCTCCTGATCAGTCTTAGTGTTCTTGTTGTTCTGCTGAGTGTTCTGAGCATTTATTCTTGCTTTGCTGTGCTTGGCTTACAAGAGTGGTGGGTTGATGGGTTGGCTGAGAGAGAGTGAGAGATGTCACAGTCATCTGGCGGGCTGTCACAGCAGTATCACAATCGAAGAGATGTCGCCGATCGAAATAATACAACCACTGCCACACACCACCAACCCCTATTGTAACTGTTGACCAACCAACAACGACCAAAAAAAGGATGGAAGAACTTCGATCACTCTTTCCAATCACCAGTGACCTCAAGAAACTACTGCAAACAACCCAACTCACACTCTCAAACCAACCAGAACATCTACTGATCGAACAGGACTTACTCACTAACCCAAACAACCAGTCACTATGGAACTCATACATCCACAGACTCACCGAAGAACTAGAACGAGAGATCAAAGAACAGAGAGGCAAAGCAACTCAGATCGAAAACCAACTACTCGGTAACAAACTAGAGACCGAGACCGGAAGGAGGGCCTACCAGATCCTAGTCTCAGTCTACGAACGAGCACTGATCTACTTCCCCAAATCATTCAAACTATGGAAGGACTACCTGCAACTCAGACAAGCCTTCATCCTTGGACAGCCCAAGAAGAAGTTCAACCCATCCTCAAACAAGAAGAAACAACCCAACGATCGATCCCTAACCGTACTCGATCACATCTCCAAATCAGACGACCAACTAGAGGATAACGAACGCGATATGGATGGCGGTGGTGGTTGGTCCGGCCATCTGGATGGAGGACTAGGATGGCTGGAATGGAAAGCACTCGCCAGTGCACACGAGAGATCACTCACCTGGCTTCCACAGGTCAGCAGTAATCTCTCTCTGTCTCTTGTTCACAACCTAAAAAACTTACACACATCATCGAATTGCAGATGCCCAGATTATGGCTATCATACCTCACCCTACTCACTCATCCATCCTGTCCCGCCCCACTCTCACTCACTCACACTCGACACACCTTCGATCGCGCACTACGCACCCTTCCTCACACCTTGCACGAACGAATCTGGAAGCCCTATCTGCGATGGTCCGAGCAAATCGCCGGTGGTGAAACTTGTATCCGCGTCTGGAGACGCTATCTCGCCATCGATCCCAGCCTCACCGCCCACTACGTCAAATTCTTGGTCGGCGAGGCGGAGGCCAGTACGGTCCATCGCGACGACGATGACCATCAAGATGACGAGGAGGAAGACGAAGAGGAAGAAGATGACGAGGATGATAAGGGTCAGGAGAGGGCGGGAAAAGCATCGCATCCTTCTAAGGCTCTCGTCGCCGCGAAATTGCTCTTAGGACTGGTCAGGAAGGCTCGCCGGGGCAAGTACAAATCACCAGACGGGAAGAGCCCCTACCAACTCCTACTAGACTTCATCGAGCTCTGCGACAAGTTCCCGAGTCAGGTTGGGATCAGCCTCAAGGAGACCCTCAGACGTCGGCAGAAACCATCATCACAGCATCCCAACACGACCATCGACCATCAGGATTCGATTAAGGATGCCACATCTGGCGAGACTCCCGCACCCTTTAACGGCTTGATCAGGATTGCGGGAGCACCAGTCCCGCTTCACCCTTCTTCAACTCGAGATAAGATATCACAGGAGGCAGAAGCCTACGATCCAGATACCGATCCAGCGAACCCATCCAAGCTGGACATCGAACAGATTGTCGAAATGGAAGGTCTTAGTGTCTATAAGGATCAGATCGGGCTGATCTTCACTAATCTGGCGACCTATTGGATCAAACGAGCCGAATTCGATAGAGCCAAGGAGACCTTCGAGGCTGGGATTGCCAGGGTGATGACGATTCGAGACTTCACGACGATCTTCGATGCTTATGCGGAGTTCTCAGAACAATACATCTCGACCTTGATGGACTCTCTTGGAGAAAATTCGGAGGGAGAGGATGGGGAGGGAGGGAAGAGCTCAGAAGAGCTCGAGTTGGACCAAAAAATGAAAGAGTTTGAGGAGCTGATGGATCGGAGACCGTTCCTGGTCAACGATGTGCTTCTGAGAAGAAACCCGAACGATGTCCAGGAATGGGAGAAACGGGTGGTGTTGTATGGCGAAGACCAGGACGAGAAGGTGGTGGAGACTTATCTCAAGGCGATCGAGACGATCAACCCCAAGAAGGCTACCTCGAACTTCAACCAACTCTTCATCCATTTCGCCAAATGGTACGAGGAGAACGGGGTCGACCCATCCGATGATTCTCTGCCCGACCTCGATAGCGCGCGGAAAGTGTTCGAAAGGGCGATCAATGTTAACTTCCAACGGGTCGATGATTTGGCGGAGATATGGATCGAATGGGCGGAAATGGAAGTACGAAATGAGTGAGTGAACCAACACTTCCCACTTTGAAAAATGACTCAAGATTAATGATCGGAGAGTGTGGATGTGTCTATAGGAAGTATACAGAAGCGTTGAGGGTGATCAGAAGGGCGACGACGGTGCCTCCGAATCATAAGAAGAAGGCGATCAGCTTCCATGATGAGTCTTTGGCCGTCCAAGTTCGGTTGTTCAAGTCTCTCAAGCTTTGGTCTTTTCGCGTCGATCTGGAAGAGTCTATCGGGACGGTCGAGTCGACTCAGAAAGCTTATGATACTATCTTCGAGCTGAAGATCGCCAATGCTCAGGTAAGGTTATCTCTGATTCGATTCTTTCTCCAGGAAGAAGGAAGAATCGCGGAGATTGAAGTTTCTTTTTTGTTAATAGATCGTAGTGAATTATGGAAATTTCTTGGAAGAGAATGAGTATTGGGAAGAGTCATTCAAAGTATACGAACGCGGGATCGAGCTATTTACGTATCCGATCGTGTTTGAGATCTGGAACACGTATCTGAACAAGTTCATGAAGCGCTACCAGGGGACGAAGATTGAGCGGGCGCGGGATCTGTTCGAACAAGCGTTGGAAAACTGTCCGGAGAAGTTCGTCAAGCCGATCTTCCTCTCGTATGCTCAACTGGAAGAGTCTTTCGGGCTCGCCAAACGGGCCATGGGCGTGCTTGAACGAGCTACTGAGAAAGTGGCGCTAGATGACCGCTTCGAAGTCCGTCTCTTTTTTCTTGCGCTTCTAACCTCGACTCCTTTGGTTGATCATCTTGACTGATCTCGATCTATATCTCTGTGGATGCAGATGTTTGCTTATTATATCGCTAAAGCTACCGAAAACTTCGGACTACCTGCGACTCGTCCGATCTATGAAAAAGCAATCAAATCGTTGCCCAATAATCAGACCGCCGAAATGTGTCTAAGGTTCGCTAATCTCGAGCAAAAGTTGGGCGAGATCGATCGGGCTAGAGCTAGTCCGTCTCTTTCTTCTTTCTCTCTCTCTGACGATCCCCGTTCTTTTGAGGGGGGAGACATTCTGATCGGATGTGCTGATCTTTTTCTTGGGTTTGGTTTGACTTGGGGTAGTTTATGCCCATTCTTCTCAGTTTTGCGATCCCAGAACTTCGCCTAAGTTTTGGGAAACTTACCATAATTTTGAGATTCAACATGGAAGTGAAGACACATTTAGAGAGGTACTAAATCTAATCCCCCCCCCCCTTTCTTTCTTTTTTTCTTAAAAAAGTTGGCTAACTCAAGTCTTAATTGCTGTTTTTTGTTTTGTTATAGATGTTAAGGATTAAACGAGCCGTTCAAGCTTCATTCAACACCGAGACATCCTATCTGGCAGCCAAAGCAGCAGCCGCAAGAGCCGCTGGTAATCGGGGTGGTGAGGCCACTGTCTCTCAACAACAAGATGAAGATGATGAAACAGGATCAGGAGACCCGATGCGTAGACTCGAAAAAGATGACTCTACTACTGCTGGCAATCAAGCTTTTGTCTTGTTTGTCTCTTTCTCTATCTCTCTCTTTCTCTTTCTTTGCTTGACGGATTTTGTTTTTGACTTGAATACTACTTTTATGGTCATTAGGTCGAAAGATAGGCAGGCTCAACTCGATCGTTCTGGGCCCCTTAACCCCGATCAACAAGCTACCAATACTTCCGCTAATGTTGATGAGATTGCGATCGATGATGATGATGATTAACTTTTTCCTTTTTCCTTTTTTTTTTCTTCTTCTTCTTGATGCGTGGGTAAAGCATGAGGATGATTCAAATTCAGTTGCATATATCAGATTTGATTTACGTTAAAAAAAGTTTTATATATTTATTGAAACCAATGATTCTCTTCATTGGGATTTCTTTGGTGAGAGCAAATTTTCTTTTCCTCGGTCATCGGCCGACTTGGAAAAACAAAATAAGAAAAGGCATCATTTTCATGCTCTTGATTCCGATGCCTCAGCTGCACATATGTCCATTCCCTGCGCATGTATCATCGCCCAGCTCCGTTTCGGATCCAGGTCAAGCTAAACTGTCTACCAGTTGTTGCAAAGAAAAGGGCGTGAATGTGTGACACTAGAGGATCTTTCGCGCTGATCAGACTCTGGAGACCTAGTGTACCTAAATTGGTATACAATGTGCTAGGACTGAAGCGCATTCGACTTCGGGAGTGATCATGTCTAACAGTTGCACATACAAACAGCAAATGGCAAGCTGGTGACTCGTTTGATAATCCTTGTGGCCGTCGCCGCATCGTCACAAAGGTGGTGAAACTGTGCTTTTCTTGGACAACACAGTCGAAGGTGCTACTCTTCAACTTTCTTGCAAAATCAGTACAACGTGCTCAAGCCAAGGATAAATCAGGAATATCTTTAATGAGACTATCGTCTTCCTGGCCTGACTCTCCTGCAACCCCAATCATGATCCTATCCAAAAGAACTCATTGGTTTACGTGGCTCTGGTGTGCATCTTGTGGTTTGTTCATTCAACTTGCACTATTCAGCCTAAATAAACATTGGTAAATCAGATGGAAAACATCTATTTTTCTTTGTTTGTTTGAGATGACTCAAAGACTTCATATGGACAGAATGGAAATGAAAGAGTAGATCAACAACTAATATCTGCATACTTGGAAACTTACAATCAACACTGATTCAGATATATATGTATATGAAAAGACTCATTAACCACCATCACTTCAGAAGGAAAAAAAAAAACTGCCATGGATTTGGGAAGCAAAAAAAAGAGATTTGGAAGATTGGTTTTGTAGTAAGAATTGTTGGATCCTTGCTGGGTCTAATGATTTAAGAGTTTTGAATATTCTTTGGAAAATTTGAGTTGGGATTGAAAGATGTAAATTTTCTTCTCCCCCTTTTGTACATCATCGGATTCTCAGATGTCCATTTTTTGTTTTTTCCAAGCTGTGTTGGGTTTGCTTTACATAGAAGGCGCAGCAATCGGGGTGTTCCCCGTTCAGACGGGGGGAATGTGGATTGATTAAGTTGGGGTTGAATGTGATGAGTTGAGTTGCACAGCAAAAAACCCAAAGCCCCACCATGAACCAACTACCGATCCCAGCCAGTCTGATAATCTCAGCAGACCCAACCCAAGCACTCAAACTATACAACAACAACAACAACAACAACAAGAAGACGAACAGGAAGGAGAACAGTCAAACGATAACAGACAACACCATCTACTCTCATCCACAACCACCATCCAAAAGACCCAGACACTCAAGAAAACCGAACCCAAAGCAGACCGAGAACGCTTCATCCCCACTCTCCTCAGAACATCAACCAGAAACAAAGACAGAAAACGATCGGAATAGAGAGCTGGTGTCGATCGAACAGGATCAAGAGTTCGACCATCAATCTCAGCCACCCGAACTAAGACCAGCCCTACCCACCCTGCCACCTACCCCATTAACACCACTCGAGATCATCAAGTCGAGCACGCTCTCGAGAACATTCAATAAAACCAATCGAGTCTTCTCACAAATCGCAGACAGTGCAACCGACCTCATCGAATCCGATTCGAGCACCTGTAATAAACTAAACCAGATCGTAGAACTATTGAGGGGCGATCTGAGCTCGAGATCATGGATAGAAGTGATCGAACAAGTCATCAAACCTCAACCTCAAGAGACGAAGGAGGATGATGGTGGCCAACTTCATTATCAGATCCTCACTCAAACCCTCGAGACCATCCAAGGATTATTCACCGTCCCTGAGCCGATCACGATCCCGGTGATCGCCAACAGGACCCTGGAGGACAGTCCCCAACACAAACGGAGCTCCGCGCACAGTCGGCCAAACCCGCCGGCGCCACAGCCCGCCGAGGAAAGGCTCAGCCAGGCCGAGCAGCTCGAGAGTCTCGAGAGCTGCTCGATCCAACTCAGCAGGTTCCTCGGCGATATCCAGGACTATCGGGACCGCGTGCTCGAGATCCGCAACGGCTGTCTGGCGATCGAGAAGCGTAGACGGGCGCTCTGGAATCTCATCAAGATCTGCTCGGTCGCTTTTGATGAATCATTGTCGACCACCTCTTCCGCCTCTTCGTCTCTTCTATCACCCTCCTCCTCCTCTTCATCATCCTCCTCCTCATCATCATCATCATCCTCTGAAGAGGCCGTCGTAGGAGGAGATCGAAAGCAAGGCAAGCGGCACAGGAAACCAGCCAATGGGAAGACGGCGGCAGTCGTAGGACGGGGAGGGAAGCTGAAGAAACCGCAACAGCAGCAACCGAAGAAGAATCCAAGCCGAGTGTCAAGAAGAATGGTCCGGCCAGCCAGTCCTCAGGCTCCTCAGACGACCACCGAGCCTCCTCCGAGCCCCCATCCGACTCGCCCTCCTCCGCCGACCCGGCCGCCGGCCGGCCCAAGCCCAGGAAAAAACCCGGCCCCAAGAAGGGCTCGACCAGGAAAACTCAACAGCAGCGTCAGCTACAACCCACCGATCCTCAGCAATCCACTCTTCACCAACATCATCCGTCCACACTCATCGACGCCAATCTTCCTGTGCAGCAGTCGCTTTGCTCTTCTTCCTCTTCTTCTTCCGCCCTCCATCCCTTCTCTTCTACCGCCCCCTCCTCTACTGCTAATCCTCTTGGAAATCAACCCGATCTTTCTCCCTTCCATCATCTGAAAAGAAAACGTAAAATCCCTTGATACCCTCTTCCTTTCTTGTGATCTTTTCATCTCTTGCTCTTCAACTCCTTTTCTTCATTTATCTCTTTTTTTATTGTTGTTGTTTCTATATATATATATTAGACATCATATGTACACATTATTTATTTCATGTATTGGTCTTCAGTGTCGAAAACTTTTCTTTTAATGATTTCTTATAATCTTCTGATACTTAATTCATTCAACTTATATTTCTAATTGCTATTTGACAAGATGAACACTTCTGTTCTTGAAGCGGAGATACCGCTTGATCTGAATGCGCTCTTTATCATCTGTTATTGGAGGAAGGAGGGAAAAGAGTGGTGGGATCGAAAAGGATGTAAGCTGATGAATATGTGGTCTTTGGTACTCAAGTGCCAAGGTTTCCCCCATGGCTGAATGCATAGTCTTGAATACTGAAGGTGGTGCCAAGATGAAGACATGAGAGATGGTTCATCATCACCCTCATCATGCCCAAGTGGGTATCCTGAGGATTGGAAAGGGAGCCAAGGTTTGCTTTTATAAAGATAAGTTTGAATATGAAATGAGATGACAAAGTCTGAAATAAAAAAAAATGTGTAACTGAAAAACAATGCTGCTGGATTGTTTTATGGGGTCAGTTGACAGCCAGGAGAGGATTGAATGATGATTCTCCAATGAACAAGTCTGAAAGAAAGAATGGATACAGCAGATCAAGTGCCTTTGAGTGCATGTCCAAGCTCCAGGTATAAGCCCACAAGGTTATGTGCCCTTGCCAAAGTGAGTGGGGAGGAGGTTCTGCCAGGCTGATGCCTTAACAATAGGTACTGTGTCCTGTCAGTGTGGGGCCAACACAATTCAACCCATCACTAGGGAGCATTTCTCTCAGCCCTTCACCAATGAAGAGACTCATTTTAATCAGTCAATCATCCCTGGTCAACAGGTTAAAATAAGGGAGATAAAGAAAATAGACAGGCCAGGGTTTTGCTTACAGGCTGCTAACAGGTGTTGACAGCGGAAAAATTCTGTTACCCAGCGCATTAGTGCAGCTTGGCAGGCATCGGTGCACAGCCAAGCAACATGACCAACAACCCCCACTGTTATCAATCCTGCCAAGCTCGCCTGAGCACCCCCACCATTTCAAATACCACTAACCACAAGCTTTCTGGAAGGTGCTAATTACACTATATTTATAAGATTTGCATAAGAAGAATGCTAGGGGATTCCAATGAGAGTGAGGGAAAAGTGGAATTAAAAAAAAAAAGAATTCATCTAGTTAGGTGTAAGAACTGTTATAGAGAAGATGGTGTTTACCATTGAGAAGGGGGCACAAGAAAAGAGAAAAGGACACAAAATCAAGCAAAATACAATATTAAAGAAGAAGATTTCAAACCTGAGAAACACCAGATCACAGCCCTAATTGCTCAAGAGTGCATCATTGGAGTCCAACAAGAGGAAGGCCAATGAGATGAAGGAAAAGAGAATAAATATACACCTAGTTAGATGTGAGGATGACTTGAGTGAAGAAAATAAGGATTATGTGTACAACATTCCAAAATCTAATCAGATGATGGAATCGGTTTCCCTCATTCTCACACACCTGTATCTGGCCTGTATTCTCTCATCTAGAAATTATCTAGTGGTTGAGTTCTTTTGAAGAGAATCCAGCAAAAAAATTATGAATCTCTTGAGGAAGAAAAACACCAGCTGAATTTTTTCCAGACATTCTCCTTCCTATATTCCAATCATCAAACGTTTTAATCCACAGGACATAATCTGTATCTGGGAGTGAACTAGATGAAAGTTCATTTTGTCTAAAGTTGAGTGTGTCAAAAACTTTATCAATTCTGGGTTCAAGAAATTTTGGAAAGCGTATCCGGTATTTCCTGGACCAGTATGAAGAAGTCACACCATATTCTTTCTTCAAGATGCTGTGAAATTCAAGCAAAGTAGATTGTTCATCCTCCAATTCTGCATAGACTGATTGAGCTGTTGACTTGAGGCGCATGAGGATCTGCATGTGGCTATCCATTTGTCTCTGTACATCCAGATTGTAATCTCCTCTTGAACATTCCTCATTTAACATTTTACCAAGATACTTTAATGATTCTGTTTGGTAACCTGAAAGATCTCTCAGTTTGAACCTTCCATCAGACAGCAATTTTAGAACTCTAGCTTGATGTGACATGAGTCGAAAATACTCTCTGTGTTCACCTTTGAACAATTGCGGGATTGTGGATTCTGAGATGAAATCTGAAATCCAAAGAAACTTTCTCAGCATTTGATGATGTGATGGCTTCAAGTTGGTCACACGGTCTGCTGAAAAGAGCCATAAGTTGCGCCACACAAGTATAGCTTGAGACCAATGATGAGTTGTTAGTGGCTTCATCATTAATTTGTAAACAAATGGAACCAAGATCTTATGAGAGTTGTGCATCTCTTGCAATGCAGTACCTAAGGGGAGGTTTTCAAGTGCCTGCAGAAATTCTTTGACCATAAAATAGGTAACGTAAGCAGCTTTCAGATTGCTTGGTGGAATCCAGTCTAGGATTTGACAAGAGTAATATCTGGAGACATGGTTATTTGCTCTCCAGAGAAACCATGAAGCCCCTTGTGAATAGTCAACTTTATCTTGTTGACTGCCGATGTTGGTTGTGCTTCCAATGTCTCCCTTCCAAAGCGGCTGCATTGGAGAAGACTTTGAGTGAGAAAAGACCGGATGCTCACTCGGAGCAGAAGCAACAATTTGAGTGAGCCCAAGTTTTTTGAGGAGGTCCGTGTCAGATGGCAGGTATATACCCCGTGGAGCTGCCAATGTGTGTTGGTCTTCCAATGGTTTTTGGAAGTTCTTCAGGGAAAGATCGATTTGGGCAGTTCCCACCGAAAGTGATAACTCAGTGCTTGGGTTATGTGATGCCTCCTGCTCCACATTAGCCGTGGAGGTTTCAAAATGAAGTCTGCCATGCTTTGTTGCGTCTGGTGAACTTGAAACCTCCGATTCATGATCCTCCACATCCATATCATCTGTGCTAATTTTGGTGGGGTGAAGCTGAAATAGGGACAAAAGTTGAGGAGTTTCTTGCCACTCCATTTGTTCTGGCCTCTGCCATTCTTGAAAGTTTAAGTTGACTTGAGGTTGAGTGGTTGAGCCACCGTTTCTCCCCCAACTCCTTTCACTGCACCCCACCTGTGGGTGAGTTCCACGGTAAGTCACAGTGACTTCGTGAGATGGTACTTGGGCGAAGCCGCACGCCAGAAGCCAAAGCAAACGTAAAAGGCCTGCTTTCATCTTCAATTGGAAGACTTCCCGTCGCGGTTTAGAGTGCTTTTTAGACCTCTCTCAGTCTTAAATTAAGAACACAATGAAGATTTCAACCAGCTCATGTGAGAGCTATTACCAGAAGGCTTCAGAAAAAAAGATTTTTTTGATAAAAAATTTAGATCTAAGGGGTGTAAATCAACTTCTGGGAGGGTCCTAGATGGCGACGGGAAGTCATCCATTATTTTAGTAAAGGAAGTACTCTTTCTAAATATTTAAAAACCGCGCCGGCAAGATGGATGGACAAATATATGTACCTGCTGGCTGTCGACGACTGAAGTTAAGGAAAGGTGAGTTCGAGTTTGATGTAAATTATCGGAGGTCAAAACTTGATCAGCACTCAGGCCAAATTGAACGAGGATGATCTCTTGACACTCCGCTCAGTGACTCATGCCAGAGGCTGATGAAGAGACCAGGACCTTTTGAACCTTTGCGATTATCGCGTTCCTCACATGTTTTATGTTCCGAGGATCTGCTAGGTTAAAAGCTGACCAGTCACGACTGGCTCGACCGAGATGACTGTGAGGTTAACACTCCAAGTATCAAAATGTAACTCTGAGATACATGTACTTCCATCACCACCGACAAACCTTCCGGCTGCTTTTGCGAAGTCAGCAAAACAGCACAGTCAATACTTCTATTAAAACCTCATATCAATGTTAAATAATTATAAGTAAAGACCGCCGTCTTCACCTAACTGAGGAAACATGATTAATATCAAACTGTTGTGTACAAGACTGGAGACAACTCGAGTACAGTGCCGGACCATGAGCAGTCGATAAGACCCGCAAGGCCGACAAGGCTCGCCTGGTCCACAAAGGACTAAGTTTGAGAGGGTTAGAGACACCTCTGAAATTGGACCATGCTGGTAGAGGCTGAATGTCACTGAACTTGTCCAGTTTGCCGTGGTCAAGAGGTTACACTGCTTCCATTTCTCTAAAGAAGTAGCTTTTCTTACTCGGGGTTTCTCCATGAGAACACCCGCATACATCATTCCAGCCGGTCAAACTGGCCATCACAAAGCGTCCATGTTGTCATTGTTTGTCAAGGTAACAACCACCACCCACTCAGCCTGGAGCGGCTGCAAACCGACCACGGGACATATCAGCCTAAGTCTTGCGGCGCGCCTGAAGCTTCATGAGATCGACATCGCCCAATCGGCAATGTGGCATCTTTAACCCCAATCAGTGGATTCACCTCCAGGTTACTCGACAACATCCAATCCGGCCCAAGCAGGCCTCAGTCCAAAATGTATCCTCTGCTGACGCCAAGCTGGTTATACCTTTGGCCGAAGATGTTGTCATGATGAATTCCGAAATTAGCCCAGTGGTATACTTTGGGGTTAACTTCTATTTAAGAAGCCTGAGTCGTCCCATCAGTCAAGTATTCCCCAGACTCAGCTTCTCCTTTCAACACACAACTACTACTTCTTTCCGCAGACTACTTGACTGAGTGTCATTCTAAAGACATACCTTATAAACACACCTTTCATTTGAGCCGAGCTCGTTTATCTTCCCATTCGTTGTTCCTAAGGAACTAACACTTTACTTTTTTTACTTCGACTTCCTTAAATTCATCTTCGCGCAATAAGATCCCGAAATTTTCACAACTCCTGTTTCGCTAGCCTTCACCTCGTACAATCCACCACTTCCCCCGGCCGGAATCCCCAGAAAACCCGCTCATCACAAAACATAATAAATAAATAAAAATAACAAACCACATCAACCTAAGAGTCACCGACCGAATCACAACACCAAATCAGAAAAAAATGCATTCCAGATCTCTTTCTATCTCACTGTTGATCGCCTCGATCACGACTGCGATTTCACTTCCCATAGACCAGGACTACCAGTCCGGCACCCCACCGACCGATTTGAACCCAGAGATCCTACAAGCGATGGACGGGCCGACCAAGTCGGAGTATTTCCCCAGCGGCAAATTCATGAACTCCGGAATGGGTCCCAAACCAGATCTAGCTTCGGGGCAGCTCAATGGCGAGGCAGGCCGTCCTGGATTCAACAAGAATCCAAAGAACACCGGTTACAGTCTTTCAGGTTTTCCTCACGAAAATGAGAGCGTCGGTCAAGCTGCCAAAACCCCATCTACCACTGGTCATCCCAATTTCCCTGCTGGCAACGCGTACAGCCCATTCCAGTCAGCTCCCAGTTATGGCCAAAATAGTATTCAAGCTGGGAGAAACTCACCCGCTGGGCATCCTCTCATGTCCCACGAGCGTCCCTCTGCCTCACAATCTACTACTGGTATGTCTGGTATGGCTCACCAAACCCCATCACCTTCAAAGCCTACACCCGATCAGAATCAGCCCCAGGGTCCATTAGGTAACGAAGCATACATGGGAGAGCCATCGTCAAACAATAAAGTCAGTCGAAAGATCAAATCACCCAAACTTGAGAAATTCCGCACAAATAACTGATCTTACATTTTTAAACTTTGAACTTCTGGTTTAGTTACCACAACGCAGGAACTTGCGCCGAGAGTTAGGAGAGGGTCCGTTCAAAGCCTTAGAACGTCGACAAGATGGTAGCGAGTTCTTGGATGGCCTAAATGCGGGCGATGATGGTACCCTTGGAATGGGCTCACCCTTCGGCGAGTTTGATGGGAATTCAGGAGGAGCTGATGGAATAATGGATGATGGAGCCAACCCGGATGTATTGAATAACGCCTTGGGAACGGGGGTAAGCATCACATCCACATATTTCTTTGTTCCATTCGGTCTCGCCTTTGATTTCAGCTATTGACGGGATTGATTTAAAACAGCTGAAACGTCGAACTTCGATCGGAAGCTTGAGTGAACTCCTTCAACGTCGTCACAATGGCGAGGATCACACGATGGACCAAGGTGCGAAGAACGCGACAGAGCAGCCAGTTGGTCAAAACAACCAAAGCCCCGTCAAACAAACCGCGACGAACTCGACTGAAACCCCCAGTGAGCAAGTTGAACCAGGGTCCACCTCAAAGGTGACCTCGGAAGACCCGGCAATTCCACAAGCCAGCGAGAAATCAAACCCCACTGGACAATCCGGCATGCCTTCTTCCATAAACGAGCTGAACAGCAAGCAATCCAATACTCAGGCCGAAGGATTGTCCCATAGACCTCACTCCAAGGGAAAAACACCAGGACAAATGCCCGAAAGTTTCGCCGCCCAATTCCAGCCGCAACGCCTTTCACCCCAAGACCAACAAATGCCGTCGACAGGCTCCCCCCAAATGAACCCGAATCTTCCCACCGGCCAAATGGGCTCACAGCCAGCGTTCATGGGTGGTAAATCCAATGCCGTCAATCCCAATACTCCAAATGGTCCCGGTTTCGGTTCTCCACAAGCTTCCCCTTTCGGCATGGGAGCAGGTCCCATGAATCCAAATACTGGCATGGGAGCCAGTCCCAGAAACAGCGAGTCGATGATCGCCGAGATGGAGGATCCCTCTGCTACTGATGAAGACGCAGCGGACGAAGAGGGCAAAAATGTGAACGAGGGGCAGGAGGAAGGAACAGATCAATTATCAGGAAAAGAATTGGAGAGCCCCGCTTCGAACCCATCTTTATTCCCAGGAAACGTGAGCTCTCTTCCCAATGCGCCATCATCACATCCTTTGAACTTTATGATCTGAAACTGACTCTCTTTCATTTGCTCCACACTCTCCTCCAGCCTCAAACTACTGGCCCAACCGCCCCTAAAGAGGACTTCATGGCCATGGGTCAACCTATCTAGATCGGCTCTTCTTTTGATTTGTACTTTTTCAAATGTAGCTAGTTACTTATAGCCCAGATATCTATAAATGTCTTGCTGTTATCCTTGTTTTTATGAAACACCAGAAATCTTAAATGATACTCTGGTTGTCTTGCTTGTATATCCTGATTAGAAATTATGAAAATGAACATTATCCCTCATTCCTTGATTTGATTCAATCATCTCCTGTGTCCACACTGGCTCATGATGAGAAAAACACAGACAAGTGTGATACAAACATTGTTGAATATTTAGCATCTATCCCTTGAAAAAGAACCTCCATACTAAGTATTCTTCAAAAAAAAAGAATGAACATCACATGCAATGGCTCAAATTTTATCATTTTTCCGGAATAGGATGAAAATATAGTTGCCACACCATCTTGAGTATCCTCCCAAGCTCTATGAATTCTGATTATTGATCTCCTTTTTTCAATTGACTTGTAACAGCACCAAAAAATAGGCAGTCGATATTTTTTTGGCATAAATCAGTGAAGTTAACTCTTCACTTTTTATTTTGCAAGTTTTATACCACACTTGTAGAACTTGATATATGCTTGGATTGCCTTCTTTTTTGTTTCTTGTGTTTCTTGAGTTCTGCTTTTAAAGTCTTGAATTTTTTTTACTTGCTTTCCAAAATAATTCAGCCTGGCCATTCATTTGAGGTTGGGCCAAGCAGAAATGTTGGGAGTTGATGGATTTCTCCTGTTCTGCAAGCTGAACTTGTCGGATCTTGATCGAAGTGTCACCTTCACCTTCCGATTGGGTTGTGTGGGGAAGCGGCAGGGTTCCGACTTCCGAGCACGTTCCCGCAGTGACTGTGCCCTCCCAACGCGCCCAGCCTCGCAGTATATAAATCCACCACCAGGGGAGTCCTGCCAGCCACCATCACCTTCCATCAGCAACCTCACCCGATCAAACCCCAAACAGAAGAACCGATACCGGAACTATACAACTACCCCATCATCTGAACAAACGCCCGATTCGATTACAGCTAGCTACAAGGCATTCCACCATAAACGACGCGCCAGATGGCCGATGTTAAGCTGAACGTAGCCTTGTTCTACAAAAGGCTTAATCTCTTGATCAAATCTTGGAAGGTCAGCACATAAGGCTCAAGCGACTGCTTCACCAGCTCTTTTATCCCCGTATCCGAGAATACTTACTGTCCAGTTTATCTCCCTTTGCTTACCCACTTCCATTCCGATTGTCCACTACGCTGTTCCTTCACAATGGTTGCACAGGATGGTAACGGCCCTGATGTGGAAAGCTTGCAATCCACCGGTGGGATACTATTGGTCGCGGGAAACACCGATGAATCTAATCCTTACAAAAAAACTGGAGCACTGCAGACTTTTCTGCTGGGATACGAATTTCCATCTACCCTGACCTTTATCACACACGACTCAGTTACCTTTCTTTGTTCCGAGAGCAAAGCGAAAATTCTCACCCCTCTTGCCAAGCCGCGCAGCAGTGACCTCGATCCAGATGATAATCTGAAGGTTGATGTCAAAGTGATCGTTAAACCAAAGGACCCGACAGCAGCAACTGAGGCAATGGAAACTGTACTGGCCTCTATGGAAGAAGTCAGCTCCAAGGATCAAAAATTGGGTCGCTTACTCAAGGACAAGTACACCGGGAAGTTTGTGGTGAGGCCTTTAGAATTCCTTTTTTTTTGCCCCACCGTCGATCATCACTAATCACGTGCACACTTATGCATTGCCACAGGATGAATGGAATTCGTTTTTGAAAACCAAAGGAAAGGAGGCCTTAGTTGAGCAAGCTGCAGATATTTCCCCCGGAGTCTCTGTCATTTTGGCCACCAAAGACGCACAAGAAATAGTAGGTCTGATCTGCAATAAATTGTCGTCATCTCCTTATATGTCTCTCTTGCTCACTCTTCTATCGTTTTTGTCTTTTTAGGAATACACGGAAGTTGCTTGTCAGATGGCCCATAAACTCATGTCGGTTCTGTGCAATCAAATGACCAACCTGATAGAGACCGAAAAGAAAATGTATGTCCCTGAGGATCGATCTTCAATTCACCATTGCCCCCAATGCCACTCTGCTCTCGATTAAGTTGGTTTGATCCTCACTTACAGAACGCACGAAAAACTCGGAGATCTGATTGAGGGCAAGCTCGAAGATGCCAACGTATGGAAAGGAGCCAAATATGCACCCGATGTAAGCGCAAATTGAGCAAAAGTTATTTTCTCAAACATTTTCGCCACTTTGTACACATCTTGCTGATTTTTTCTTCTCTTGCAGTTTGATAACACATACGCAGATCTATGTTACACTCCCATAATCCAGTCGGGTGGCGAGTATGACTTGCGCACATCGGCCCAATCTACCACTGAGAGGCTCAAAGACACTGGGATCATACTCGCCAGCTTAGGGATCCGATATAAATCATACTGCTCCAATGTATCTCGGACTATCATGATTGATCCACATCCAGTGAGTCAACTAGTCGATCCTACCTCGCAGGTGCGAATATTGAACTGATCGATGATCGAACATGCGTGTAGACTCAAGAAGCCAACTACAAGTACTTGCTGGAACTGCAAAAATTCGCCCTTGAAGCAATGAAGGAAGATGTAGCTGCCAAAGACTTTTTCAGCACTGTCAAGTCCAAGGTAGCCACTGACCGAGCTGAGCTTGAGTCTCGCCTTCCTAAGAGTTTTGGGTTCAGTGTTAGTCATGTTTGATATTCTATCATTGACATACCTCCTCTCGCATCCTAGCCAAGCCCCGATCTGATCCTCGTCATTTACTCTTTTTCTAATTCTTAGTTGGGAATAGAGTTCAGGGATTCATTCTTAACCTTGAGTCCGAAGTGCTCTAGAGTCTTGAAAGAGAATATGATTTTCTCCCTGATTCTCTCCTTTGCCGACATTGAAGATCCGTTCGATAGTAGCAAAACCTACTCACTACAGCTGATTGATACCGTGCGAGTCGGAAAGGAAGGATCGACTATTGTATGCGATGGATTAAAAGAGCTTTCCCATATCGCTTTCTTCTTCAATGATAAGCCATCCAAGTCTAAGAATGGCAAATCCCAGAATGCTGGTAAATCCACCGCAGCCTCGCCAACCAAAAAAAGCAGTTCCCCCAGAAAGGGCGCTGCCGCTGTTGTCACGACATCCCGCAAAGGCCGACTTCGAAACGATGGCAAAGAAATCGATAACGAGGCGACTGCAAAGCGCAAAATCCATCAGAAGGAATTGGCCGAACGCAGGCAAGAAGAAGGGCTGAGCAAGTATGCTGAAGATGATGGCACTGGGAAGGGTTCTGAGGTCAAACAGTGGAAACGGTTTGAAAGTTTTCCGAGAGAGCGGGATCTTCCTAGCGCGGTCGCTAGCCTTCGAGTAAGCTCATTCTTATCTGTTTTCCTGCTCACGAACCTCTCATCTTACCTTTGGTTCCACCCCCAGATCATCGTGGATACCAACAAACGGAGTTTCATCTTGCCCATCAATGGTTTCGCAGTACCTTTCCATATTAACACCTTAAAAAATGTTGTCAAGCAAGAGGAAGGTGATTACACTGTCCTTAGATTCATGCTAGTCGCACCTGGTCAAATTACCGGCAAGAAAGAAGATACACCATTTGAGGACCCCAATGCAACTTTTATCCGAGGATTGACTTATCGAAGTACCGACAACGAGCATATGAATGAGGTCTACAAAAAGGTTACTGACTTGAAGAAAGCCGTCTTGAAGCGAGAGAAAGATCAAGCCGAAAAGGCCGACGTGGTCGATCAAGATCAGTTGATCCCAATCACACATCGACGACCAATAAAGATGTTGGATATCAATGTCCGTCCTGCGTTTGATGTTAAAAGGCAAGCTGGTGATGTCGAGATTCACACAAATGGTATCCGCTATCAATCTACTATTCGCTCGGATCATCGCATCGGTGAGTATGATTAAATGCCCATTTCCAGTTGTTTTGTTTCTTTTGTTGTTGTGAAGCAACTTGGCACTAACGATGATTTTCGTAAATACAGACATCTTGTTCAACAACATCAAGCACATTTTCTTTCAACCTTGCGATCAAGAGCTGATCGTGATATTACATATTCACTTCAAATCGCCTATCTTCATTGGCAAGAAGAAAACGAAAGATATTCAGTTCTATCGTGAAGCTTCAGAGGCCACGTTTGATGAAACCGGTAACCGAAAACGGCGAAGGCAGAACAATGGTGGCGATGAGGACGAAATCGAAGCCGAGCAGGAAGAACGAAAGAAGCGAGCAGAACTCAACAAGCATTTCAAATCATTTGCCGATAAGATTGCAGATGCTTCAGACGGTCGATTGGAAGTCGACATGCCATTCCGAGAATTGGGTTTCCAAGGTGTACCGTTCCGATCGAGTGTCTTGCTTCAACCTACCACCGAATGTCTTGTTCACTTGATCGAGCCACCTTTCTTGGTAGTAACATTGACTGAAGTAGAGGTTGCTCATTTGGAGCGAATTCAGTATGGGCTCAAAAACTTTGATTTGGTGTTTGTATTCAAAGACTTCACCAAAACCCCGATCCACATGTCAGCATTTCCTAGATTTTCCGTTGGATCTTCATTTCTTTTTCACAACAGAAGAACTCACGAATTTGATTGATTTTTCTGACAACCACAATTCAACAATCGGGCTGCATACAGTAATACCATCCCGAGTGGACAAATTGAAAATGTGAAGGAGTGGATCGACTCGTGTGATATCCCGTTTTCGGAAGGGCCTGTGAATCTAAATTGGACAGCGATCATGAAAACCGTTACAGATGATGTGAGTCAAAATCGATTCAGTTGATTGAGTGATATCGCGTGAGTTGAACTTGTCCTCTCTTTCCTCTGCCTTCCAGCCTTATGAATTCTTCAAAGAGGGCGGATGGAGTTTCTTGAACTCTCAATCCGACGAGGAGGACGAAGACGGGAACTCGGATGACGAAGACGTGAGGAAACATTATCTTTTTTGAGTCTAGCCCGATCACGCTGATGCTAACCCACAAATCTTCCAGTCCGCATTTGAAGTATCGGACGACATTTACGAGTCATCCAGTGACGACTCGGACTCAGCCTCCGATTTTGACGAGAGTGCATCTGATTCCTCTGGCTCCTCAGCCTCGGGGGCCGCTTCCGGCTCGGGCTCAGAAGCATTGGATTGGTCTGATCAAGAGAAACAAGCGGCGCGGGCCGACCAAAACAAGAAGAAAGGCGCGGCTGAGTCCTCGTCAAAGAACAAGAAGGGCAAGAAAGGCAGGGATCCGTCGGATGATGATGATTCTGATGTCTCTATCGATAGTGAGGAGGAAGCTAAAAAACAGAAGAAGAAAAAAGCTCCAGCCCGGAAACGTTGAACTAATGTTTCCACTCCGGTTCCTTCCTATACTTCTGTTTCTTGTGGATACATAGTCATGTCTACTTGGAGGAGCCGCATCCGGCAAGTGTATCTTTCGGTTAATGTACTTTCACTTATCTCTTATGGTTTTTTTTTGTCGATACGTCGTAGCTGCTTGTTAGTCTTGTGTTTTAGAAGCAAATGCTGGAGTGTTATTTAACTTATCAAGCGTTAGCTGCATTTGTTCTAGTCAGAGCAGATCCAACAACTTGACATGCACCAGACCATGTGGCAACATAAAAGTGGTATAACATAAATTACTCCGGTTATTTGAGCAGTCACCAACTACAATGGAAGAAGTTATACCATTGATGTTACATGGGAGTATTATATTAGCAGTGGATTGCATGTCTTTTTCATGTGTGAATGGGTCTAAGCCGTCAAATGTGTTGAAAAATCAGATGACTGGACTAAGTTCGAGTGGATTCTTTGCCACCAACGCATTGAAGACAAGCCATAAAAACTAGCCAACTTTTACCACAGCTGACGGTTTTGAAATTTCCCCCTCATGAAACGTGTGCAAAAAGTCTTGGTAAACGTCATTTCTCCAAGTATCATGTGGGAAAGATTAAAAACATTTTGGAGCAAAAAGTTTCTATTCAGGGGTATGGGGACAAAAAAGGAGATTGCATCCAGAAGGACAGTTTAGATCAAACTTCAACAGAGAAGATGATTTTCGAGAATGGTCAACTGGACAAACTGGATTGGGATGTGCGAAAAAAGAAGGTGTACAACTGGGAACGCGAAATTCTAAACACAATCTAACAAAAGCTCATCATGATTGAGATTACAAAGCAATGGCGGCAAGAGACATGGCAACGATACCGGTGAAAGTCATCGCCTCTGGAGAAGCAACAGCGGCGGCACCCGCCTAGAAATTAGAAATGAAAAAGAAGATTTAGCAACAGAAACATGTCGGTGAGAGGTGACTTGGTCCTTACAGAGTCTCCAGTAGGGACATCCGTGCCGTTGGTCGGCGCGTCAGGCTGGGGAGCAGATGGCTCCGGGGCCGTGGAGTTGTCCGCAGGTGCTGGTTGAGTTGATGGGTCAGCCGCTCCACCAGAAGGTGCTGGCGGCGTACCGGCACCGCCGGCTGCACAAGAGGCTGAGGTAATTTTATTTTTTTTCATGATAACAGTTTGTTAGTTGTGTCTTGATCAGTTGTGTGGTTTCAATTCGATTGTATTGTGCTCACGAGGTGGAGGGCACATGCATTGCCCAGATGACATGTCTCCTGGAACTGGTCCTGGAGGGCCAGCAGGAGCAGGGTGGCTTGTTGGGCTGACAGCGGTACCATTTGGCGAGGGCTAAAGCAGATGATAGTTAGTTTCGAGTTGGGTGGAACGAGAAATGAGATTACTAACAGCAGGGGCTTCAGCTTCTGGTGCTGGTGGCGGGGGAGGAGGAGTGGGACCACCGGCTCCTGCACCCGGAGGAGGAGTCGGGCCAGCTGCGCACAGCACCTCAGTGAGGAGTGTACTGGGCAGAGACGAGCGTCTGGCTGAGCAGGGCAGTGCATTGCTATCATGATAATCGATGGTCAATATTTAGCTGATGAATCTGGTCGGATCAGTAAAACTTACCGGGGCGCCCTCCGAAGTAGTCCGTTTTTGTGGGTTTCTTTGATGTCATAATTATCAATCCCAAGGCGAATGAGGATGTGCGTCTTTTGGAGGAAAGAATCCAGTGGGACTGTCACTCACCGAGGTCGAGGCAGTCACATCAACAGTGACCTGGGACAAGCAGATGACAAGGGCAGCAAGGACAGCAAAAGAGCGCATGTTGACTGAGTTTAAAAAAACTAAGGACCATCAAACGACAGAAGGAAGAAAAACGAATTGTCAGCACCGGCAGAGCAGATTTTTTGTGGTCCCAAAGTTTTGGAAAGCGCAACCTACGAAGTGTAAGTTGCAAGGGTATAAGGGCGAGGTGTAAGACTAGTTGACAGAGAAAAAAGTTTGAACACGAAGCTGAAGATTGGAAGATGGGATGAGTGGTGGAATGGAGAAAAGAAAAGAACCGACATTGGAGTGGCTATTTATAAGACTTCCAGGCCAGTGTGGGGGCCCGTTGTTTCGCCCCTTTGACCTGAGATTAGCGTCATGACTCTGCATCGGAGTGTGGCCACTCACTCACACTTTTTGCCCTTTCATGGTGATGCAGTGATCATACGGGGCAACAAGCAAACGCTTTTAGCGTTTCGAGCTAGTGGCAAATGCGAACTTCAATAATCGTCGCTGGAGAACTTCCCCCGAGAAGCGCTCATCGGCAAGGTCGGTCAGCGACAAAAGGCCAATGACATCAGAAACTGGCCCACTTTTCGACTCCAGATCCAATGGACTTGATGAGCAGCCCTTGACGATACATCATTTCAAGCATTCCTTCACGCTGACGAGAAAATACGTCCCTTCTTGCTCTGGATCAGACCAGTCCTCATTCACATCCGCCAACTGATCATGGGAATCTACTCTTCAGCTTCAGGCAAAACTTGTCGCTCGCTGCTGCAACGGGACGAGCATGTATCCTGTCTAGCTGACAATTGGGTCATCTTCCGAGATCAGAATCGCTCGGGTCGCCGACATGCCAGCGGAGTGCTAGCAGCCTGTGAACAAGCTCACAACCCGCTTGATACGACCGGGACCGGAGCTCAAACAAATCATAAATTAACAACTTAGAAATTCAATGCATGAGCGCATTCGTGACAAAAGCACATCATGGTGTTTGAGAACGAAGTGGAAGATAAAAAAACCCCTTGATCTTCATTGCTTCCCCTCCTAACCGACAACACTCCAGGTTTGGAGTTGGTGCACCCACAACACACGATTGAGGGACTTCAAAGGGTGCGCTGCAGAGCTGGCAAAATAGATTGAGTGAATGTGCTGCTGATTGGAGAAGGGATTTTTCTTCAATCTCGGATTTCTCAAACTTTCTTTGAGTAGAATTAATATGACCCACATCATAAAATGAGCGGAAATTCACATCTTCTTGACTTCTATTCCTAATTCTCTGGTCATATCATGTGTCTTTCTTGATGATCACCTTCAATACATCTAAACAAGATCTGCCAGAAATTGGAGGTGTAGCTTGCAAAGATAAGTAATTCAGTGAATGAGATATCTCTTCCATCTGATTGGAATGTGTTGAATTCTATTCAATACTTCACTGATATTTCAGCAATTAAATCATCCATGTGCAACTTTACTGTGTACTAGGGTGTAAGGGTGGTGTGACCACTTGTTAAAATTGGATTGAAGTATCTTGTTTTACCAGTAATTTTTCAAGACTACATAATTCTTTTCAAAAACCTACACTTTGATGGAAGCTATAGAAATAAATTTCAAATTCTGTAAGTTATACAATATACATCAAATTGTAAGAGCTTTGTTTCAGCCACAGAGAGGAAATGAAATGGTACATTAGTATCAGAAAACAGCCTGAGTTTGTGTGTAAGTTTTCCTTTAATACCCTTGCCTTCAACATATTCTTAATCACATGTGTCTGGAATTGCACAGACAACTTGACTGCTTGAGTTTGATGTGTCCCACTTTTGTTGGATAATTGGAAAAAAAGAGAAAACTCACAAGTTTGATTGAGCTACAAAGATAGTTTGTCATTGAGAGGGGATTTTTCCAACACAGAAATGAAATTTTTATGATCACGAATGGAAAGGGAGAGCTACTGATCAACAGTATATAAATCAACAAAATGAATATAATTCATTGGATTCCAAATTGGACCTAATTCTCATTCTTCCCAAAAAAGAATCATTGGATTTGGCCAACCTTAGTATAAGCCTAACATGGCCCAAACGGGGGTGAAGCCCTCATAGTCCAATTTCAAGGTATGGGTGAATATTTGGAGTGGAAAATCTTGTAAAAATTGAAAAAAAGAGATTTGTGTGTATTTTCATCTGAATTGGAAGGGTCAAACTTAAAGTGATTCAACCAGGGCCCACATAGATGCATGTGTTCTGAGTATGCCGCACAATAAAAGTATTTTTTACAACAGCTTGGCAGGGGAGTTGAGGAACTTTTACTGGGGGAGGATCAGAGATTAAAGCTTTTAATTTTCTATTTTGTAGAATAATCGTAATTGGAGAGTTTCAAAGGCAAATGGAGCTCACTTGAAGTAAAGAAGTTGGTTGAAAGTGTGAAGACGACCCACAAAAGTGAGCCACTACGCTTTTTTCCCAAAAAGTGTTAGCATAGTGGTTTTTCATTTGCGCAAAAATTATGCAGTGTTAGCAAAAGGTTGGCAGGTTTTTGCTGCAGTAATACAGGGCCAAATGCTGCTGATCAGCATGTGAGCGCGGCACAGAGGGCACATTTTTGGGACCTACACGTGTAGTGTTAGTGCAAATGTGGCAGTATGCTATGCTACACTATTTTTTAGAAGAATTCCACTACACTAAGCTGCACTAACACTACAGTTAATGTGACTGGCCAACCAATGCATGAAGGTAGAAGATTCATGGCACAATGTAAAAGGGTTAATTGTAATTATTATTTGGAGGAAAACTGAGACCAACGGAACAAAGACTATAGCTTGAATGAAATTGTGGAAAGGAGAGCCTGAGTGTAACAAGCTCTTGACCAGACTTCTGAATTCCACTGAGCACAAACCAAATGAAGCCTTCCCCATTGATCTCTAGAATACTACTGTGATCAATCCTTGTTTTTTTACAAGGTGAATCATCTCTAATTTCACTTTTTTTTCTCTGCTTTTTTGATTCATATTAACTAATACCTCTGATAATCTTTGGTAATAGCAAAAATTAACCAAGTCACACATGACATGCCCTCTTGGTTTTACATGTCAGCAGGAGACACAACTGTTCTTTTGCGCTGAGTAATAGAAACATTTGGTTCAACAGTTATTGTCTTGTTGGTCAACACCAAACATATAGAGATAAAGGAAAGTCAAGTGGGAAGAGAGGTAATTGAGGACTCGAAAGTAAGATCAAGTGCTCACTTTTTTCACAACTTTTTCTAGGATAAGCACCAAGCTTTGATAGTGGGGACTACAAACAACTCAGAGTCACACCATGGCTCTATTTGATGTATCTGGTATATAAAAGTGCCAAGATTTGAAGACTAAAGAACTGAGGTTTTTAAACCAAATGTTAGGGCACGACCAATTGTGAACTAACAACTGTGAGCAAGGAGAATAGCAAACCTGTGGCAAAGTGAGCAAAAGAGAAAGTGGTGCGAGTGAGACAGAGGAAATGAAACTAGAAGATTGAATCAAGATGCATTTCTAACCTGAGGTTTTTAAACCAAATGTTAGGGCACGACCAATCGTGAACTAACAACTGTGAGCAAGGAGAATAGCAAACCTGAAATGACAAATGATGAGATGACTGAACAAAAGGAAGAGAGAAGAGTGATACAAGAGTGAACAACAGACCTGTGGCAAAATGAGCAAAAGAGAAAGTGGTGCGAGTGAGACAAAGGAAACAAAACTAGAAGATCAAATGAAGAAAAAGAGAAAAACAACATGAGGATCATGATAGATAAACTTTTAATACATCCAATACAACAAGATCTAGGTTTTGAAATGTCTTCATTTCACAGGTTCCTTTTTGGCTGCTGCGCCGCAGTGGGATGAGAATGACTCTCCGGACTGAAAGTTCAACAAAGATTAGGGTTTGGGTCAGAATGTGTTAACTTTGTTTTGATACCCACTGCATCAGTATGAGTTCAATCATTTGTTTATTTACAACCAACCAATTTGGTTAGTTGTGATTGATTGAGGATGATGAAGGTCAGCAGAGGCCCAAAATTTCCTTCCTTTTCTTCTTTTTCTTTTGGAATTCCAGTTCTGGTATGTATAAGTACAAACAAACTTTTTTTCACAAAATCCAAAATGTTGAATGATCACTGTCCTCTTGAGCTTATTCTATTCTCAAGAAACAGAAACAATAGACTACCTGAAAACAGATACAAGTCAAAAAAAATGTTGCAGTGCTGTGAGATGAGAAGATGCAAGAAGATATCTGATAGCCAACCTTTTTGGGATGGAAACAGAAGTTGAGAAAACTTGAGAGTTTTATTACTAAAAACCAAAACCAGACTGAAGAACACAAAAAGGTTAGAGATAATATCAAAAGAGTAAGAAATACTGAAATGAAACAGAGAAATAATTTACCACAACAGAAGAATGATCTTAAGAGAGAACAACTGAATAGATGAAGAAAAAACAGAGGAGAGCACAGGACACAAGACTAAAGATGTAAAAAGAAAAGGTGTTAGTTGAGGTCGATGGTCGAGGTAATTTGTTGATGTTATTTTCTCACCAAAGTGGACACTGAAGTGATCCAATAGATGAAGATGAGGGAGAAAGAGTTGGAGAGCGTAGTGTCAAAGATTGACTGAGAAGATGATGTAGAGTTAAGAGAGGTAAGTCAACAGAGATTTCAGTCAAGAGTAGGAAGACAGGAAGATGATAGGTGGATATGTTTATGTGTATGTTGAAGAAGGAGGGACTTGAGGAGGGATGAACAGGAATGGAGAACTAGCAGAGTGAGAGTGAGTAATGAAGAACAAACGGTTGATAGAGTGATGGCGTCTTGAGTTAGGTTTGAGGTGATGATGATTTTGGTTATGCTGTGGAGTTTTGGACGAGATGAGTTTTCACAGATGGATCACAAGGATTTCAACAGAAGTCAACATACATGTATTCTGCTGATATTTACACCCTGAAGTTTCAATGAGATAAAGGGGTGGACTATCAAATCTGACTGCAGGTCTTACATGCAGAGTTACACAAAGGACTCACCCCAATTTCATCTGGATAGTGGGATTAATTTTGAAATGGCATGTTTCAAAGGCTGAGCATCAGGATGTGAAATGACAGGCAGCCATTCCATACATGGTTATCCCATCACAGCCCTTGAAGTTGGCTAAGATGTTGTTGATGATGAGAATTTGAAATCAAAACCAACCATCTCATAGGCATCCCTAAAAATTAGGATGAGAAATTAGGCTGGGCTTCTGTCAACTGGCAGCATTAAATATGACTGACCATGCAACTTCACACCCAAGACTGGTAATCATCACCAATACAAGCCTTTATATGCTTTGAGGAAAGGTTTACAGACTTAGTACCACATCCTTGTTGTTTAGTTGTTTAGTTGATTAATGTTTTTTCACCAGGTCCCCTATTTCATCACATTTTTTTTTTTCAATGATCACTTTTCTCAAATTTTCAGGTTAAAAAACCCCACCTGAGAGACTGTTGTGCTGTCCTAAGAAGGAAAAAAAAAACATTTGGTGTTTGTTACAATGTTGTGGCAGGGAGTTGGGCAGAAGAACTGATCTGCGCCCCCTGGTCAAGATGTGGTGAGCAAGATAGATCAAATTGGATCGTTGAATCTGATGTGGGTTCCACTGGGACATCAAAAAAAAAACCATGGCCCTGTTCTCTGCGAGGGGAGCCTGGTGAACACATGTCCACAATGTCTGAATTGTATAGTGTTGTGTTAATATTGTATAGGCTACATGAATACAGCACTGTTGATGTTGTTTGTCACAAGTTGCTTGGCTTTTTTTTTTTACTCTGGTGCTGATGATATACAGCTAATGTGTAAATGTTTACACTTTTCCACAAGTTTTTTTTTCTTGTGCAACTTTTTTTAACCTCAAATCAATCTTCCCCGTCCCCGCCTCTGCCAAGTGCCACAGACCACCCCATCAACCAATGTTGCACACCTTCATTTTTGGGCTGAGCGGGTTATGGCATAACTTGGGCAGGCAGCTGCTGCACGTTAGCCCAACAATCACTTAACCAAGTCCCCATGCCCCCCCCTTTTTCAGAGTGGTAAACCACTTTCCACATTGCACCAACCAGAGGGAGGGACTTGCATACAAATTTGATCCTGTGACATAAAATGAGAACATCAGGATTTTTGGCTGGGAGTTTTTAGGAATCACTCTGAAATTAAATTTGGTCAATCGATTGGGTTTTTCTTCTAGGTTTCAGATTGGGGATCATCCACACTCTCTCCCACTAACTTTGATAATGGTCAACACATCTGCTTGATCAACAATGATGAGTGTAAGATTGCCAATTTCAGATACTCATGTGCCGTGCAAAATGTGGGATGCAGGATGGCACAGGAGAATTTCAGTCACCAAAAAAAGCCACGTTGAATCCCCTCCCCCCCAAGCCTAAGGGCCATTTAAAATCAAGAAAAATACAGAATGATTTTCGATGATCTTGTGCATCTTTTTGCTTCTGGACCAAAACATCATAACATGATCATCCACTGAAAAAACAAAATGGTGCTGTTGTTAGACACTCACACGATTGAAACAAAAAGGAGGTTTTACTGATTCTCTCAGGCCTCAAGGTTGCCTTTGCACAACATACAAGTCCCTCCTTCCAAGGCCCACTCCGATTGGACCAGGGACTTAGTTCTTCAGATGGGTCATGTGGGGCTTTAATGAAGATTGGCAGCAAAATGAGAAAAAGTTTGGAAAGACGCGCAATCATTGTCACCACAGCTAGTATGTATTATGTTGTTGTTCACAATTGGATGATGAAGGTCATACATGTAACCGATTTCCTTGACTGTTTGGACAGACGATTTGGGCTGGGAAATGTCATATGTGAGGCTCAAGTATGTCCGATTCACTGCAGCGCCCTCCCTGCCAAATATCCTTTCTTTTCACACTCAATAAAAGTACATCTTATATCAGGATTGTGAAACATCATGTCCAGCTTGTTTTTTTTTTTTTTTTTTTTTTTTTAAAAAAAAAAAGCAGATTTCAGGACCTATCTGCAGGAAGAGTGTATGAGAGCATGACTTTGGCCAGGCCGAAATTGGAAGTATTAGCATGGGTATTATGTAGCATCCTCATCAGCCTCTCATTCTTGGAATCCTGTGTCCCAATAACAAAATCAAAGCATATAATACTCGAGTCTTTGGATGTTTGAATATTAGGGGGGGGGGTCGGGTTCACAATAGCTTCTCACAAGAAATGTTTTTAACAGTCTTCCAGCTGTCTTCTACATGTCACCTGATCTGCAGGATCTCTGTATGTACATATGTATAGGTTAGCTTCAGAGCTGCAGATGTGGATGGAAGCTCTCTCTTTTCTGTCTGGCCTAGGATAAGCCTGATCTTCTTTTCTTTGCAGCTTTCCTCTTCTCCTCTTTCTGGTCTTTCTCTTGAATGAATTCATATATCTTTTATATCCATTTGTGTCTGGAATATGTAAAACCTCTTCAGTCTTAAACCAGTATACGGCTTCCTGACCGCATGTGTTATGGTATGTATATACATCTAGTTTCTTATCTGTTGTAGTGTTTAATAAGAAACGCGCCGCAGTTGGCAGGGCTCGCCAGTCGAGCTAGTGAAGATTGATGCCCTGAGGGCAACGGGAGTGAAAGCGAGCTTGAGGCTAGTGAGATCAAAGTAAATATGGTATGTGCTTGGAGAAGGGTATGTGTAGAGATGGTTGGTTTTCGCAGGTGGGTTTGATTGAGAGTGATCGGAAGGTGGGCCGCAGTTGGTAATTCAATATCTCTGTGAGCCAGGCGATCGGATATATTGTTGGCTTATGTAATCAATCTGCAGCCGGGTTAGGGAGTACTCAGTTCGAGCTGGTGCGCGGAAGTAGGGTTACTCAGCCCAGAGCCTCGAGAAATAATTATAAGCCAACTGCAGGGGAAAAGACCAACAACAACAACCAACCAACAACCAACCAACTACCAACCAACCAAGGACTTCAATCAAGCATGTCACCACTCTACAGCAACTCAACCAACTCTCGCCACCTCAAACCATACTCAAGAAACACACTACCCACCAACAACAACAACAACAACAACAACAGCAGCAGACATCCTACTAACCTACTCCAAGTAGAACTAGGCATCGTCTCAGGCTCACCACTCAACCCAACCAACAACAACAACTTAACACTACCACAACCAACAACAACAACAACAACAACTCAAACAACAACAACCGATCATCATCAACAGCAGCAGCAAGGAAAGAAGACTGGCTTACTCACAAAGTGTGTCGACTGGCTATTCAGAAACCCAATCAACCAATCCAAAACAAAAACAACAACCCAACAACCTCAACAGCAACAACCTCAACAACAACCACAACCACAAAAACAACCCCAAAAACAAAAACCAACGATCGAACAACAACCAATCAACAACATCCACCATTCACTCTTCTCCAACAATCACCACCAACCTCAACAAAACAACTACACCTCACTACCCCATCACCATCACCATCATCATCTCAAGAACAACACAAACAGATCTACAACTAACCATGACTGGTTCAGATCTCAATCTCCATTCGTCTCAAACCTACCCACCTCATCCGAATCCAACTCACTCTACTCCAACATCACCATCTCAAAGTCTGAAAGAAGAAGAAGACCAAACACCTCTCACGCCACACTCCAGATCCCACTCTCAACCAATAACTCACTCTCAAACCGTGTCTTCGGATCCACCATCCAACCCAACTCAAACACTTCCTATCACCAATCATCCCTCCGATCACTCTCTCCACTCAGGCAACTCCACTCTCGTCCCACCACCACCACCCTATCCCCCTCAGCACAACACATCCCACACTCTTCATCCAGCTTTGCCAACCTAGCTCGTCCAATCTCACCCAACCGGACCCTCAACTCAGTCATCGGACACCAGTTCGACAATCGCCCCAACGAGCACACTCAGCCCTCCAAACTGCTCAGTCAAAAGAGAGAACACGACCAGATGAGCATCAGCCCCATCCGGGCTAACAGTCCCCCTCAGAGCCCTGGCCTCTTTTCCGATCGCGAAGCTCCGATCTCCAAGAGACAGATGTTCTGGGACCCCAACCTAGGTTTTGTGACCAAAGAACAGAGAGAGAAGATGATCCGAGAGGCCGACTTGAAACTCAGAGAGAGTCAGTCATTCAATCTATCAATCTATCACACCTCAATTATTCTGATTGTGTGTGTGTTTTTTTTTCCTTTCAGAGGAAGGCAGACCTCTACCAACCAACGAGGCAGAAAAAATCTTGGAGATCTTGGAGACCGGTCGGCCGTCTAATTCACTCTGGGGTAACAACAGGCGCGCCAATGTTGGTGTATTTCTCTCGATTCTCTTTTTCTCGCGAAACAGGATCAGTCACTGATGGATCTTGCTTCCATAGCTACCTAGCATTTCTGTACCCACTCCTTCATCGGCTTCCAGTCAACGAACTAGCTTGGTCAAACATCTCAACCGACCCAATGCTCTCGGAAATAACCTGAACGCAGTCTATGAGGAACATGCCTTACATTCAAATCATTTGACGATCATCGCTCCATTCAATAAAAAGTTGGAGGCCGAGCGGATCAAACGTCTCGAGGAGAAGAAAGGTCAACTACGCGCCGAAATGAAGAAGCGTAAATTGTTTGAAGACACCTTGGAGAAACAGAACCAATCGGCTGTCCAAGATCCTGGTACAGAGCTCAATGGATCATCTCATACCGAGGATGATCTGACCGATCAGAGATCTAACGGAAGAGCGCAAAGGTCCACTTCCATCGAGACTGCTGCCGAACCTACCCGTCGACGTGTCAAATCCAGTCGTAAGATCGGCAAACTCACTAGTAGTTCTTCCAAGGCGAAGGTTAACCAAGGTCGAAAGAGTCGTTCTCATTCGGTGAATGAAGAAGAAACCAATGGAATCGAGACTCCGACTGCCGCCCGATCGGGTCGAACAACCAGGAGCGGCAGGTTACTCACAGTCCGTAATTCTGATAATAATGATCCCAAGGATTCTAGTTCCAAAAAATCAGATTCCAAGAGAATCAGTAAAACCCTCAAGAATCTCAGATCGCCTTCCCCTATTCAAGAGGAAGCTGATGAGGATCATCGACAAGAGGAGAATGATTCTGACAACCAATCCATCCAGAGAGACCAGCCCGAAGTAAACCAAAACACCTCGTGTCTCCATCCTACCGTTCGATCCTCTTCAGCCTCCTTACAGGTGCCCTTATCCAGCCTTACCAAATCTTCATCTGCTTCTTCCCTCCGTCCTGGACGCACATTCTCAAGCCGAAGGCACATCAAAGCTAAAGTCTTCTCGGCTCGAGAGGAAGATTTACCAACCCTAAATGATGGGGAGGATGAGGAAGCAGATGAAGAGAACGAAAAGTTGAAAAAGATCAAGCTGCCCAGTACTTTCCTCAGCAGCTTCAAGTTGGACAAGTTCAATCAACCTCCGCCTCCCCAAGTCGTCGTCCAACCCGAGCTGTCCCAATCCAACAAACAGAATCAAGATTCAGAAGATTCGTTGTTCAAAAAGACCGGGACAAGCTCGTTGGATGCTTCGAAAACGAGCTTATTCGCCCCCATCACAGCTCAAACTGTCACTCCTCCAGCCTCGACAGATCCTCCTGTCGTCTCGTCCTCTAGCACCGCGCCGAGTATCTTCGGCCAGTCGACCACCTCCGGGTTCCTCTCTGCTTCCCCCAAGGATGGTGACTCTGTCCAGCCAATCAAGACTTCATCTCCACTTTTTAGCTTGGGAAAGGACGCGTCGTCCACAGCAACAACGGGCGATAAACCGACGACTTCACAGCCCACCACCTCATCCATCGATAGCTTTTCTAGGATCTCTAGCAATGTACCGCCTCCCAACTTCTTTGGTGCTACGACCCCCCAACCTAGTGTCTCGGATTCAAGCCCACCAAAGAATTCTGACCAGCCTGAGAAATCGAGTCCATTCAACTTCCAACCTAGTACTACTAGCTCTAACTTATTATTCAAACCTCCTTTCGATTCGTCTTCCACCTCTCCATTCGGTGGCCCATCCAGTCAGAATAATAACGATTCTACCAAACCTAGCGAACCTCAAGTCAGTCTCTTTTTTTTCTCTGTTTCTTTTTTGTATGCATAACTTTGATTGCTAACTTCTTTTAATTTTGAGTAGTCTCAGTCCTCCCCGTTCAGTTTCGGTACCCAACAGAGCACTCAGCCGACTTGTACCAATGACTCGATTGCAGCAGCGCCTGCTCCCTCTGCTGAGGCTTCGAATCCATCGCAGTCGCAACCTTCGTCGTCCGTCCCTACGTTTTCCTTCGGAGCTGCATCGAACCAAACGGGTTCCGTTTTTGGGTCGCAAGCTCCCGCGCCAGCTGCAGCCAGTGCACCAAGCCAAATCACCCCGGCACCTGCACCCTCAACCCCGTTCAGTTTCGGTGCTCAGCCGACAACGACGACGACGCAGGCTCAGGTGTCTAGTAGTCTGCCACCTACTTCAAGCGGGATGTTTGATATGATGGATTCGAGCTCATCATCATCGACAGCCGCCCCGAGCATCTTTGGTCACTCGGCCGCCGCCCCAAGCAATTCGATGCCGATCTCGACTGGCTTCAGCTTCGGCAGCAATCTCAACACAGCGGCAGCCAAGCCCGAGCTGAACTTTGGCGGGACCTCGTCGGCAACCACGCCTTCGTTCACCTTCGGCGGAGGCTCTACAACCGGCGCGACTCAATCGTCGGGCGCCAGTCTGTTCGGCTCATCTTCTGCCCAGGCCCCGCCGGGCTCGAGCAGCTCATCCACCCCCTTCACATTCGGCGCTCCATCCAGTGCAACTAACAACAACAACAACTCTGCCTCGCCCTTCGTCTTCGGTGCTGCTAACCCAGCCTCCATCACCCCTGGCTCGTCTACGATCCCGCCCACCCCTGGTGGCTCTGCCTTCGGTGGCCTGTCTTCCTCTAACCTCGGCACCCCAAACAATAACAGCTCGACCAATATCTTCAACTTTGGCGCCCCAGCTCAGCCGTCGATGGCTAATGGGAATACGGGTGGTGTTGCTGGGTCTGTATTTGGAGGAGCGGGCGGGTCTTCCTCTGGGATGGGAGCTAATACTAATGGGGCCGGAGGAGGGATGTTTGGGATGATGAACAATAATAATCATGATTCTGGAAGCTCGATGAATACGTCGGCTTTCTCGTTTGGGGCGACTGCGAGTGGCTTCGGGAAGCCCTCTTCGGGGCCGGAGAATGGACAGACGAGCGGCGGACTGTTCGGAGGGACGACGAGCGGGTTCGGCAAGTCTCCTCAACCCGGGCTGTTCGGGAACAACGGGGGAGGGATGGAGACTAGTGATAAGGGTCTCCTCGGGAACCAGCCAGGCTCGGCCGGCTCGGGGATGTTCGGATCAGGCTCGACGAATAATAATAATCTCTTCGGCGGACCGGCTCCTGCTCTCAATGGATCCAATAACGGCCACTCCTCGATGAGCCTCATGGACGCTCAACCAGGCTCGATCTTTGGCGGCGGCAATAATGGAGCCCTCAATCCGGGTACTGCAGCTGGCTCGCTCTTCGGTAATAATGGAGCCCCAGCTCCTGCTCCCTCGACCTCCTTCTCGTTCTCCGGCCTCCCATCTTCGTCGTCTTCGAATCCGCCCTCGATCTCCTTCGCCCTCGGCCCTTCTTCTTCTTCTTCTTTGACTAGTCATCATCATCTTAATAATGGCCCCGCGCCGCCGCCACCACCCTCGGTCGCCCCCGGCGGGTTCGTCTTCAACATCGGAAGCTCCTCCGTCGGAGCCTCCAAACTCTCCTCCGGCCCATCCGCCGCTGATTCCGCTCCCGTGGGAAGGGTCACTCGCAAGTTGCCCTCTAGTGCTCGTAAACCTAGACGCAATTGATTTTCTTTGTTTTCTGTTGGCGCTTTCTCTCGCGTCCTGCTGCTGCTTGCCAAGCCGGTCGGTCCGTTCTTTTTGGGGGCGTCGTGCTCGGGCTGTTGCTGGTTTCTTTTTGTTTTTTGTTTTTCTCTTTGAGAGCTGATTCTTAATTTTTATACACTTACTTCCTTACTTCCTTACTTCCATACTTTTATATACTTACTTATATATATATATATATTTACTTTACATTTATTTTTAGCGATTGTTCTTCTTTTTTTGATTTTTTTGTTTGTTTCTTTATTTTTTTTTTATTTGGTTAGAGGTTCAGTGATGATCAATTTATATATATATATATACATATATTATTTTGAGGTTCCCAGTAGGTATCATTGCTCTTTTTCTTTCTTTTTGAAGGTCTTAACAAAGTTTGTGTGTGTGTCTGAGAGAGAGGGAAGGGATGAGAGAGTTTTGTGGAGTGAGGCAGAGAATGGAAGTAGGACTTAAGGATGGCAAACAGGCAGGCTTGGGCTGCCCGTGGGCCATCATCTTAGCAGGCAGGCCTGGCCTGGCCTGGTCCATTTTGCAAACAGGCTGCCAGCACAGAAAATAAAATACAGAAAATGAAATATTATATTAAGGACAAGGAGGCTGGCAAGTTTTTTTCAATTCATTCAATATAAGTAAAAACAAAAAGGACTACAGCTTCTGAATGGAGGTGGGCATTTTTTTTTTTTTTTTTTTTTTTTTCATTTCATTTCGTTGATTTTTCAATGATTTTATGTAGAAATGTGTGTCAATATAAGTAAAAAAGAACTATAACCTATTTTTCTTTGAGCCTTTCATCCAATCCTGGGTGCATATTAAGATCACTGAGGCGCATGTGGTAATCGTCTAGAATGTGACCTCCAGTAGAAAAGGCAGACTCAGATGGGACTGAGGTCATTGGAATCATGAGTATGACCCTGGCAAACTCGGACAAAGAAGGGAATCGAGTTGCATTTGATTCCCACCAAGCTAGAAGGTTGAAGTGATCTTTGGAGGTGTTTAGGTTTTGTTCTTCAAGATATAGATCCTTCTGTGCCCCAGGAGCATCGAATTGAGAACTGCCCTGGGTGCCCGCCATGTACTCCTGGAATCCAGAGATATCCCCATCAATCTTCCTCTTGTTTGTGGTGGTTGATCAAGACACAGTTGTTGGGCTGGGATCGGCTGACTGAGGGATAAACTGATTCCCAGAGGGATAAGAAAGATCATCAAACTTTTCCAATAAACGTATCCGCTCGGGCCACTGGGAGATTTTCCAGCTTCTCAAGGCTGTAGCCGAGATAGCGTATCTTGTATCAAGGGTCCAGAATAATTCCTATGGCCGTAAGCTCCTTTGCCGATTCCCAGTATTTGTCAAACTTTGCCTTCATTGGGGAAATCTGCATATTGAATATGTGAGGATGTTCTTTTGAGTTGTTGGTTTGGGTGAGCCGCATCTCGATAGCTGTCATTGCTTGGTAGGCTTGGTTGATTGTTGGATACTTGGTCCCACTTAGAAAAACAGTGGCTACAAGGATTGAGTTATAGAATCAGTACAAATTTATAGGTGCAAGAGAAAAGAAAAAGAAGTTTATGCTCAATGGAATTCTTGGATGACTGCAAGCTCCTCCCATTCAAGCTTGCTTGGGCAAGATTCAAATTTGTCATCTTCAATGGCTAGCTGTTGGAAGGCAAGCTTGCATGGGGTGGAGGACTGGATCATGAGGAACATCGAGTTCCATCGGGTTGGGACATCTTTAGAGGGGTGTTGCTTTATCAAATGCATCCAAGAGTCTCTCAATAGCAGTACAAACAGTCTTGAGCCCATCCTTGACGACAAGGTTGATAATGTGGGCCAAGCAACGGACATGAAAGAATTCTGATGTTGATGGAGTCGAGGCAGAAGAGTTGCAATCATTGATAAATCGTTGCAGTCGAGTCATGGCCACATTGTTGGAACTTGGATTGTCAAGCATTACAAATCCAATCTTGTTCACGGCTTTCCATTCAAGCAAGATCTGGCTGAGTCGGTTGGCAATTGCTTGTCCAGTGTGTGCAGGTGGGAGGGTTCGGAAGCTGATTATTGTTTTGATCAGTTCCCACTTAGGGTTAATGTAGTGGGCTGTCACTACCATATAGCCGGTCATATTGGACACAGACCACAAATCAGTAGTCAGCAATATAGCAGTTGCTTTTGCTACCTTGGTGGATTCTATTGCTTTCATGCTTTCAAACACCTTGACACAATCGTTAAAGACACTCTTGCGTCCAGGTATCTTGAAGTTCGGCTGAGCTGCTTCCATGAAATAGGTGAATCTGTCGCCATCTGCAAACGCAAAAGGAAGTTTGTCTCGAATTATCATCATGGCCAATCTTTCGCGAATGAGGTCTTGAGAGAACGTCCAGGAGCGGTTAGGCGTCATCGTAGAGGATCCGGGTAAGCTGAGGATTCCTTGTTGATGCTTGACTGCCCCCCCCCCCCCCCCCCCGTGTGCCTTGATGCACTTTTTGGAATGATGGTGGAGGTGGTTTGTCCCAGATGATGGAGCTGCAGAGAGTTTAGTGTTGCAGTAATTGCACTGCGCCTTGGGTTGCCCATCTAAACAATTACCAGAAGTCAAAAGAAGACAGTGTCAGTTGGTGCAATTCAACTCTTGATATTCAGAAGCATCAAACATCAAAGAAAAAAGTTACCTTCCTCAAGGCTCAGGAAGTGCTCCCACACCTTGCTTGTACATTTGCGCCTCTTTGCTTGGCTGTCTTCTTGTGATTCACTCACACTATCCACAGCGGGGCCAGCAGGGGTCTGAGGTGTCCGTCTAGTACCTGTCTTTTCCGGGTGGAGTTGTGTGGGGGTCTCCTGGATATCAGATGCCCCGTCTGACTCACTCTCACTTTCCCTTGGCGATGGACTGCGGCGTCTGTGACTCTTTGTGTTGGGTATGACCATTTTGTTTGGGTTGACTCACTGTGGATGGATGCAAATGGGGGTGGGGACAGATTACAGTTGGAATCACAATTTATTTGGGGGGGGGGTGCTGTTGACAATGGCAATTATTTGGGGTTGGGTTGGGACTCAGGGAGTGCCTTGAAATTTGAGGTGGGGAGATACAAACTGAATCAGCTCATGTTGGACAGAAGAATATTTATCATAACAGAAGGATGAGAATATGAGAATAATAATTCGTACAGCATGCACTTACAGTTTTCTGCTGTAGATATGTTATAACACAAGAACCCAGATGACAATTGGCTTGTGCTTTGTGAATGTGTAGCTGGGTGGGAAGATACAATCTGGATCAGCCTATGTTGGACACAAGAAGAGAAGAATATAACATTGAATTTTTAGAATATGAAAGTGAGCACTTACAGGTGCTTGCTCTTTGGTAAGCCCGCGGTGCTATGCTGCACAGTGCAGGTACACTTGCAAACAAGTTGCTGAGCTTGGGGAGTGAGGATAGAGAAGCACAGAGGAGATGAAGCGAGGTCGGATGGGAAATTTGTTTGGGTGGATGTTGATTGTTTGAGGATTGGAGGCCCGATGCAGAGAGGCCAAGCAATTGAGGCACTACGATTAGACGAGTATGGATGACCAGATAGAGAGATCGAGATGAAACGAGCAGATCGATTCCGACTCCAAACCTTGGAGGGAGGAAGGTGATATGATTAGTTAATTGTTGGGGGATGGATGAGATTATGAGATACACTTACAGCAATACACAAGCACGAGATGATCTTGACAAAGTCGTTGATATCCTGGCGAGTCTTTGACCGCGACGCCGACGCTTACAAATACGGAGTCGACCTGCGACTCGAGGCTACGGACACGGTATAGTTTGCTGAAGTCGTTGATTTTGCTGGTTGAAGTCCAAACTTCAAGTCTTTGACCGCAACGCCAACACTTACAAATACGGAGTCGACCTACGACTCGGACACGGTATAGAATAGTTTGCTGTTTGCACAAGTCCGCCAGCGGGCAGCCGCAGTGACTCCGGCTCTCAAGTCTTGCCAAGTCGCAGTGGACCCTGCCCCTGGCCCCCCCACCCCCCGCCGGGGAACACTGAATGGGGGGCCCATTAAGAGTCCAATGGGCACCCCGCCCAGCCCAACCCGCCCACGGGCCTGCTGGGCCGGGTCTAACATGGGCTTTTCCTAAACGGTTTGGGCCAAAACCAGCCCAAACCCGGATGGGCCTGGGCGGCCTGTTGGACACCCTGCCCATTTGCCATCCTTAGTAGGATAGAGTATGTACTGGTAGATGTTGGAGGAGTGTCATCAAGTCGTCCAGGACATACAAGCTGGGGTAGTGATAGGATGAGGATGATACATAGGAGTTGCGGGGACACTTCCAGTGGGTTGGGTGGGATTTCTTGGAGAGGTGATGAAAAAAAGACGGTCAGACATATTATACATACAGGAAAAGAACTCTTTGTGTTGATCATATATATATATATATATCTACACTTAGTTTTTGATTCTTCAATTTTTTCCACATATCGTCAAAGGGCCTTAATAAAAAAAAATTGGTTTTTTTTCCATGTTTTGTAGCAGTTTTTTGCACCGTCAAGCAGCACACCTGGTTTCTCCCAAACTTAGCCAAGTCCGCCTTTGTTGCGAAGTGACCCTCCGAAGGAGGGACTTTTACGGGCTATGTCGACCCCGGGGCCCATGAGGATTAAGCATTTGGCTGGACGATATTTTAAAACTCATCTCACCAATGCATTTCTGGAGGTTTTTGGGGCTTGTTTTGATTTTTCGTGATGGTCTCACTTGTGCCCATCTCTCCATGATCTCCACTACCCCTTTTCCCCTCATGGTTGGATGTTCATCTTATCAACTCTGGATTATGTGTTTGTGATGCCTATACTTTGAGTCCAGCGTCTTCCGTTTGGGTGCCCTGTATCCAAACAACTATGGCTCAAGCAGTCGATTTGAGTTAATGCTGTATCCTATCTAGCCGGTCTTAGACTTGAGTGTCAGATACGGTGGGCTGTACAAAGCTAACACAATGAATCAAACTGTCAGTTGGATTCATAAACGTTCAGCTGAGAAAGCAGCCAGTGCCCTCCCTCCATCATCGAGGCCACTGTGTGATTCTCCAGCATTTGCCACTCATTTTGGCGCACCACTTGTGGCACAATGTGATAGTGAGCGGCCTTGTAACATTAAGCTTGCAAAAAAAAGCCACTTTTTCCTAATCCTCATGGGCAAGGAGGGTGACTTAGCATATAAGTCCCTCCTTTGGAGGGTCCCTGCGGGACGGCATCCCCCCTCCGAATAAAGAGGGACTTAGTTAAGTTAGGTTTCTCCGGGTTTGGACTTTTTTTTTCGGACACCCTATATATAATATAAAGTGTGTACAGTGCCTAGACAGTGAAAAGTGACTGCTTATTTTGGATTCCAGAGCTCTGAAACACAAACTTGAAGTCATGAGACTTGGTCAGGTGGTGCATAATAGCTCCCAAAAAATGAATATGGAATAATAAAAGCAAAAAGGAAAGTTTGAAAATTTGTGAAAAATAAAAAATAAACTCAATTTTTTTCAAAAGCTTTGATATTCATTTTGGGGGAGTGGGAGTGCTGAGAGAAAGAAAGAATGGAACATGGCAAGAATGATTATAAATGAAAAAAATTGGAGCCAAAAAAGGTTTGGCCAGGTTGGTGGTCCAGATTGGAGCCAAAACAGTAAATTCTAGTGCTTTGCTGCAATGTGGGCTGGTGAATGCCCCACTCAACAGCTGTTTGAAGCCATCTGAAAACCAGTTTTTCCAAAATTTTCATTTATAATCATTCTTCTCATTTCCCAATCTTTCTTTCTCTCAGCACTCCCACTCCCCCAAAATGAATATCAAAGCTTTTGAAAAAAATCAATTTTATTTTTTATTTTTCACAAATTTTGAAACTTTATTTTTTGCTTTTATTATCTCATATTCATTTTTTGGGACCTATTATGCACCACCTGACCAAGTCTCATGATTTCAAATTTGTGGTTTGGAGCTCTGGAATCCAAAATAAGCAGCCACTTTTCACTGTCTAGGCACTGTACAATTTTATGGGAAAACCCCGTTTTGCATGAAATTCAACCGGTCTCTTTCAATAATGCAAATAATGGTCAATAAATTTTCAATCCATCTTTTAGATATAAGGGCTTAATTTCAATTATTTTTTGACATGTTGAATTTTTTTTCCTACACTTTCAAGACTTTTATAAAATTATGGTAAGAATCATTTTGCATCAAAATGAAAACCATTTCTTGAACATTGCATCTAACATGTTTTTTTTTAAAAAAAATTAATTCTTACAGGCTTAGAGCATCTCCACGGGGGTTGCTAAATTGGGTTGCTATCCCACATTCAGCGACCCAAACTTGAAAAAGATGACCCACTGGAGTTGCCATCTGGGTCACTTTTTTACAATTTTCTTCCTCAATCCCTCTATCCAGTCTTCAAACTTGAAGACTCAATAGCAACTCTGGATGCAAGGAGGATCACAGACTACTCCTGTGTTCCTTCTGTGAAACCCAAACACCACACATCACCACCTTGTCCAATCATCAGGTAGCGACTTCCTATTAACAATGCCTGGTGTGTGCCTTAATGAACTCTGGATCTTTTGTTTTCCAAACAAGATGTTAGGACACGACTGAGGTGGACTAACGAACTGAGCTGAGAAGAAGCAAACCTTTTGTTTTCCAAACAAGATGTTAGGACACAACTGACGTGGACTAACAAACTGAGCTGAGAAGAAGCAAACCTGGGTCAAACAATGAGGAGCGTAGCACGTGAGAAACAGGCAAGAGAAAAACTAGAAGAAATTGGATCAATTTTCATTTCTAACCTTTTGTTTTCCAAACAAGATGTTAGGACACGACTGACGTGGACTAACAAACTGAGCTGAGAAGAAGCAAACCTGAAAGAAAACAAATGTTGAGAAATGAAATGAGAAAGATAGAGAGAGAGAAAAGAATGAAAGGACAAACAGACCTGGGTCGAGCAATGAGGAGCGTAGCGCGTGAGAAACAGGCAAGAGAAAAACTAGAAGAAATCGGATGAAGAAAAAGAGAGACAACACGAATGAAAATGATGAGACTCTAAATACAACAGCCGACTGCAAACTAGATTTTGAACCTTGTTTATCTCACTATGCTCGCGTGAGCTGATGCGCCGCAGCGGGATGAAAATGACCCCTCGGACTGCTAGTTCAACATGCCTTAGCACTTTGGGTCTTCAAACCTTGAATTCCGGTTGCTATCATGAGAACATAGCAACCCAAAATTAGTGACTCCCATGGAGATGCTCTTCATTTGCATTATTTTCTTGAAATTTTAAATTTATTTCCAACATTTTGTTTGAAATGTTTCAAAATTTATTGTTACATCCATTTTGCATACAAATAAAATTGGTATACCGCACAAATTATGCAAGAAACGGGGTAAGCTCATATATTACTTTTAAAGCTTTGATCTTGAGGTATAAATGAATAATACCATCACACACCTCTCAAAGTGTAGGAAATAAATTTAAAATTTCAAAAAATAATGAAAATTAAGCTAGTAAAAATCAATTGAAAAAACATTAAAAAAAACCTGTCCAATGCAATATTCCAAAACAACCTTTGATTTTTATGCAATATGATTATTATCATGATTTTCAGCACGTCTCAAAGTGTAGGAAATAAATTGAAGATGTCAAAAAATAATGACAAATAAGCTGTGAAAAATTGACCAAAAAATATGTCTAATTACAATAGTCAAAATGAACCGTTGAATGTTACCATAAAATTCTCTGCATTTTATAGTGTAGGAAATAGGCCAGTTCAGGTAGCTGCTCCTTCACAAATAAAATTTCTGCGACAAGCAACGCTCAACGACATCTCGCTTAAAGTTGTGGTGAAGTCCCATGCAAAACATAAGCAAGCAGTTGAAGCAACAAGCAGTGAGACTTTTCAGACTTGTCAATAGTCAATAAAAACACCCTACGTGAACTGGGCTAATGAATTTAAAATTTCAAAAAAAAAAAACATAAAAAATAAGGTGTACAAAATTAATACAAAAAACACGTCCAAACGGGGAAACCATGTCTGCTGCGCGCAAGCGCGGAAAACCCGTGTTTTTTATTAAGGTCCTTTTTAAATTTTAAATTTTTAAATTTATAAGTTTTTTTTCTTTGTTGTATACATATATACAAAGAAGAATAAACACACAAACAAACTGGGTGTGTTGGGAAGTGGATCTTCGAAGTGCTGCTTAATTCCATCAACCAAGCAAGCAAGATTCGAGATGAGGGATGCTTGATTTTTGCCACCCAGATCTTACGGCAAAAGCCTGAAGGCGTCGTACTCAGACTTTAATGGTACGGAACCCGTACATAATCAGAAGACTGTAAATGTCGTTGCGGGGGCAGAGCTGTGGCATGACAGTGGCCTTGGACGGTCGTTTGACGACCTATGTACTGCATCCGGGGTGTGTAACAAAAGCTTGACCGGGATTCTTTCATCGAGTCGGTTGTGCCGGAGGCCTCTGCCCGCCGAACATCGGGAGTTGAGGTAGGTTGCCGAAGCAGTAACCCTTGGCCGGGAGTTACGCCAGCAATCCCCCGTTTATACAGCTCGAGCGGCACCGAATCGTCGGAAGCGAGGGACTTCGGATGTCCAGCAATCGAGCACAACTCATAACGACCACATGAATCTCACGTTGGTTGTGAATTGGAGGACCCCTTGGACGTGTCTGATGATGACTACCGCTCCGAGCGTCCGTCTTTTATGTTGCTCATGTTCGCAACCAAACAGTGTTCTACCGGGCCGACTGTTATTAATCTTCGATCCATTCATCCTGAAAGTTCCCCGGTTCACTCCGAGCCTCTAAGGAATTGCAGCTCGATGGGACACTCCTATGGACGTAAAGCTATTGATGTTTCCAATCATACTCGGGCTCTACCAACCTGAGTGTCGATAGCGCTTTCCCCCAAATGCTGAAACTGTTGTCAACGGGTCTGTTGAGCTATTATCATCACCTGCAAGTTTCATTTGAGTTGCAGTCCTTCGGAAAAAGCCTGTCACTAAGCTTGCTTGGATTGGTTTGCGGGAGTTTCCAGGCCATAAATAGCCGCGATCTTTGCTGTAAGTTTTCTCAGTCACCACATCGTTCAGGTACTACAAAAGTACACAATTCTCACTGTTCTCAAATTTGTACATATTCTTCGATTTTAACAAGGACCGCTCTTCTGTTCACATGGATCTGTTCTCTTTGTTATTGCTTCTGCAATCCCTTTCCTCATCTTATGCCCAGAATGCAGGCAAAATCAAGCCTGAAAAGCCCGTCCCATTCATCGTAAAAGAGTGTGCAAGTGGATCAAACTGCAAGGATCTTTCTGGTGGCCTGACGATCGATGCCAATTGGCGTTGGACACATGATAAGGATCAGGAAGGCCAGAAATGTTACGACGGGAGCGCCTGGACTCAAGCTTGCTCAGGCACCGGTGAAGAATGCGCAAAAAAATGCGGTAAGTTTTTATATATAAATCATGATTTCCTTCCAACAATCCACTCCCTATTTCATCTTTTTTCACAGGTTCAATGTTTTACTGATTATTAATTTATTGATTTTGGTCTTGTAGTGATCGAAGGTGCCGGAGACTATGACGCTACATACGGTGTCAAAGGCGATGGAAAAGATGGTGTGACTCTGAAATATGTAACCAAGAATGACAATGGTAAAAATGCTGGTTCGAGGATGTACTTCCTCGAACAGGGCGGCGAAAAGTACCACATGTTCAAGCTGAAAAACAAGCAATTCGAGTTTGATGTGGATGTGTCCAATCTTCCTTGTGGTGTCAATGGAGCTCTGTACTTTACGGCCATGGAACAGGATGGTGGAAAGTCAAAAAACCCAACCAATGGGGCAGGGGCAAAGTATGGCACTGGTTATTGTGACGCGCAATGCCCCAAAGATATCAAGTGGATCAATGGAAAAGTCAGTCTTCATTTTTGCCAGCCATATCGATGATCAACTGAATGCCAACTGAGTTTTACTCCCTTATATATGATTTTAGGCAAACAACAAGGGCTGGAAAGGTGATGGAGCCAATGTAGGAGCAGGTGATATGGGAGTGTGCTGTCCTGAAATGGACATTTGGGAAGCAAATTCATTTGCCCAGGCATTCACTTCACATACCTGCAAATCCCTAACAGCGGCGGTATGTACTGGTGATCAATGTGGAGCTACGAGTGCAAGCAGATACAATGGGTTTTGCGACAAGGATGGCTGTGATTTTGCTTCTTATCGTTGGGGTGCTAAAGAGTTCTACGGTCAAGGCAAGAAAGTGGATACCAGCAAGAAGTTCACAGTCGTCACCCAATTCATTACCAAAGGCAATACCGATGATGGAGAGCTCATCGAAGTCCGTCGAATGTACCGTCAGAATGGGAATCTCATCAAGAACGAAGCCGTCAAAGTTAAAGGACTTGATAAACCTGCAGACTCGTTGACCGACCAATTTTGTCAGGCGAACAAGGCTGCCACTGGAGATCATGACTCCTTCAAGGATCGTGGGGGTATGAAGGCAATGGGAGAGGCAATGAAGAACGGCATGGTTCTTGTGCTGAGTATATGGGACGACGCAACGGCCAAGATGCAGTGGCTTGATGGTATCTATCCTCCAAATGGCTCTGCTGACAAGTATGGCGTGAAACGCGGACCTTGTGACCCTAATTCCGGCGATCCAGGACCTCTTCGGGACAGCAAACCAGATTCCCAAGTCACATTTTCAAACGTCAAGATCGGTCCAATCGACAACTCAGCTGAGAAATCCACTCCTGCCAAACAGAAACGGTCCACCTTTTATATCTGAGAACAGTTTTCTTTCATTTTGTTTCATTTTCCTTTTCACTCTCACTCTCATCATCATCATTTTCTTCTTCTTCTTACTTTCTTTGTACCAACTTCAATACACTTCTCAAAGTCTATACCTGTGTAAAAATAGAAGAAGAATCATGTATGTACTACTAGATGACCCACAACTTTACAACTGTTCAACTTACATTTCTTGTATCTAGTAGATCAAAAGACACTATGAGAAATCACAAATGAAATACTGATTCAATGCAGAATCCACTTTATACAAGAGCCATTGTCTCTCTGGATTTGCATGTCTTGATTTGATCAATTCAAGAATAAAAGAAGTATGATATCATCAAGAATGATTAACACCTGAATTCATGGCACCATTCAATAGTGCTGTACCCACACAAAATCTGCATCAATGTATACAACATTGAATGGGCACACAAGTAAATCCACCTACAAGGTCCTCATTACTTGTCTTTGTCTATGGTGTTCAAATTTGAGTATATTGTAAACAATTGTGCATGTATATTTCATAAATCATTCAATCTTGTTTGCTGGGAAAGCTCCAGATTACATGAGCAGATTTTCAAGTCTCTCTTCAATCAAGAGTTGATAATTTGTATTCATGAAATATGCATGCATGCATTTTTATTTGCATACTCAACTTTGAACACCATAGTTGTTGCTAGAATATTCTGCATAAAGCTTTGAAATTTATGATGGTGTAACACCTTACCTGAAAATAAGTTTGCTTTCATACACATGTCAGCTTTTCATGAGCAAGTATAACCCAAGCAATTTTGAAACAATTGATTGTCTAGGTCAACAAAAATAACAGGTGTTATGCTCAGCTTGAATAAGGGTTTCTGATTTATTGAATAGAAGATCACTGGTTCAATTTTCCAGGAGGAACAAACTTTGAACAGTTTGTCTTTCTCTGTTTCAATCTGAAAGGACCTAAAAGCAGAACCCCTGCCCACCCATACTTTCTCACCAGGGGGGTATGCTCTTAGAAAGGTTTTGACTCTACCCACTTTCTTCCATCTCAATCTCATCTCCAAAAAACTTCATTTTGGACAGTGATCATTCAAATGACATTGTTCTACCTTCAATTTACCCTTGAATTGCAATAGATTTTGAATGAGAATAATGACCAAAAAGAAAGAGAAAAAAAAAGCATCTCTTCTCTTCTTACTTTGAACCAATGCTGATAGTGGTTTCTACCCAGTTTGGAGTAGTTTGATGTTTTTGATGTGAGTTGAGGATTGGTTAACTTCAGATCTTCCCCAACAATCAAATTAGAAGCTGCATGTGAGCTTCACTGCAAGAAAAAGCCACATACATGTTCACAGTTGACATACAATATTACAAAGGTGCCTTTGTAAAATTGTATGTCAACTCCAGAAATTTGATACAATTTTACTGCTATAAATTTAACCCAGAACTGGAGATCAGAAACAAAACAAACAAATTCAAAAAATACATCTGAGAAAAAAATCAATAAAGAAAATATATTCACCACCAAGATATGAAAGAAGTGAAGAAGACAACTGTAGGTGAGCCAACACAAATCAAAGAAGAACACAGGATCCATAGAAGAGGCTAGATCAATAAGAGAAGGTTAGTTGACCAAATAGAGAGAGTTGCTGACCAGATCAGATTGAGTTTGATTTAGTCTTCAAGTGGTGTCAAGTGAAGGGAGTTAGGTTTGTCGGAGTGAGAGTGTAGTAGAGTTAGGGGTATGGTATGACTAGGACAAGCTGAAGACAAGAGCTGGAGTGTGATATTGAGTTTCAAAATTGGTTTAAAATCTCAATGTTGAGCTTACTTTTCATGACAGTTTTTTTGTTTGGCTCTCTGGGCCTTATATTCTTCTTGAATTGGTTATAAATTATATGTATATTCTGGAAATATGAAACTGAAAAATCAATTGACAATGAAGTCAATTATTTTTCAGCCTTAGAGCCAGCCAAGCTGGCCAAAAGACTGCTTAAGTCCTCCTTTTCATTCAAGTCCCTACTGTAACTTTTTCATCTTAATCTTTTATTACTTTATGACTTCAGAAATTAATTCCTCTGTTAATTTTAACCTTAGTCACCCCTACACACGTTTACACTACTCTTCTCCTTCATAGACTTTGTAATAGGAGCTTGGCTAATCAACTCCCCAAAATTGGAGAGTCGACTCCCAAACCCCGAAACCCCCGAAAATAGGGAGTCAATCCCCCAAAACCGTTGACCGGTTTGGGAGTCGACTCCCTAACAATTTAAATAAGAATAAATGAAAACCCCCGGTTGGTTTGGGAGTTGATCCTCCCAAACCGACCAGGGTTTGGGGGTCGATGAACCAAACCAGACCAACCCCCACCCCACGGCAGCGGCTGGGAGGATTCTTCCTGGCCGCTGAGACCACATTCTCGACGGCCAAGAGGGGAAACCCTCTCGGCCGTTGAGGGTATGTACACTCTCAACGCCGAGAGGGTTTCCCTTTGCTGTTGAGAGTATACCCTCTCAATGGCTGAGAGGAGGAACCCTCTCGGCTGTTGAGGATATGAACACTTTTGACGCCGAGAGGGTTTCTCCTCTCGGCCGTCGAGGTGTACACTCTCAACAGCTGAGAGGAGAAACCCTCCCGGCCGTTGAGAGTGTACACCTCGACGGCCAAGAGGAGAAACCCTCTCGGCATTGAGTATGAACACTCTCAACGCCAAGAGGTTTTCTCCTCTCGGCGTTGAGTGTGAACACTCTCGACACCAAGAGGGTTTCTCCTCTCGGCGTTGAGTGTGAACACTCTCGACACCAAGAGGGTTTCTCCTCTCGGCCGTCGAGTATGAACACTCTCGACGCCGAGAGGGTTTCTCCTCTCGGCCGTCGAGGTGTACACTCTCAACAGCTGAGAGGAGAAACCCTCCCGGCCATTGAGAGTGTACACCTTGACGGCCAAGAAGAGAAACCCTCTCGGTGTCGAGTACGAACACTCTCGACACCAAGAGGGTTTCTCCTCTTGGCCGTTGAGTATGAACACTCTCGACACCGAGAGGGTTTCCTCTCTTGGACGTCAAGAATGTGGTCTCAGCGGCCAGGAGGAATCCTCCCAGCCACTGCCATGGGGTGGGGGTTGGTCTGGTTTGGTTCATCGACCCCCAAACCCTGGTCGGTTTGGGAGGATCGACTCCCAAACCAACTGGGGGTTTCATTTATTCTTATTTAAATTGTTAGGGAGTCGACTCCCAAACCGGTGTAAGACTCAAAAAGTGGTTGTAAGACCCTTTTTGCTGAATGGAGAAGGGGATGATGGAGTGTAAGCTCTGCCCTTCTATACTATCAGATAACAAGACCCACCAAGCTCAGCTTGGCAAGTTTTAATCAAGTGATCGGGTAAAGTTCAGGAATGAGTTTGTGTGATGAAGAGTTGTTAATTTGGTGTGGTTGGTGCTTTTAAAGTGTTTGTGTAAGGGTGGTCAAATATTGCTTGAGTGTTACTTGACTGAGGATTAAACAACTCGGAGGAGAGCCTCCTTATATATACAACAGTGAGGGAATTTAGCTCCAGGGCAGCCAGTAATGAGTGATTTTGGCTGGCCTGGGCTATTACATGAGGTATTTTTAGCTACATACAAAATTTGAATGAGTGAATGTGATTGGTCAGACATGTACAAGAGTTGAAGTTGTGATCCAAGCAGCTGAATGAGTGATTCTGATTGGTCAGGTTCTGATGTGTTTACAAGTGAGTGTGGTGGTGTAAGCTGCAGCTGTCATGCATGGAAAATACACTAATTTAGGCTGCAGGTATGATGTAATATGTAGAAGTGAAATGTAAAAGAGTGTAGATGTATGTAAATGAGTGTATATGTAAATGAGTGTATACTGTACTGAGGGTGTCTGTGTAGCTTGAGGGTTGTAATTGGGTTTGGTGATATGTAATGATGGGTGAAATCCTTGTGATATGTTGTCCAGTGTTGGGTAAGAGTTGATCCAGGTGTGTTCCAGTGACACCTCCGTGTAGACCAAGGGTGAATTTGTCCGTAGAGTCCAGTTCTTGAGCCGTATGGTGTGATGTCTGAGAGTGATTGAGTGATAACATGAAGAAAATATACATAAGGAAAAAAAAAGAAAGAAAAAACTTTTAATTTTCACATTTTTGACTACCACACCGGTCGATGGTTTTGGGGGATCAACTCCCTATTTTCGGGGGTTTTGGGGTTTGGGAGTCAACTCTCCAATTTTGGGGAGTCGATTAGCCAAGCCCCTTGTAATATTTCACCGCACCTTGTGAAATATTAACCAAGTTGGAATTCCAACTCTCTACCGCATGTACATGTTGTGATTATGTAATCCAGCTCTGAAAATTTTCTCATTAGACACTTATTTTGCATTTTCAGGATCTTCAAGGTTCAGACCCACCCAGAACCAACTCAGACCAGAAAACCAGCATAAAATCAACTTGGATTCACCGCCATATCATTGCCATGTTATCGTTAGGAGCCCTTTACTCATTGGAATCTTCCCACCCTTTGTGTCAGGATCACCAATAAGCAAGTCATTCCTTCAAGTTCAGCTTGCATCTTTCTTCTAAGTTCCTTCTCTGTCTCTCTGAATGAACACTTCATTCTGTTTCTACTAAACCTCTGCCTCAAACATCATCATATCAAATCAAGTCATCTTCATTCTCTGTTTGGTGGTAGAACTAAAAACCACATAGGTTTCCCTTTAAAGACCCTTGATCTTAGATCTAAAAAATAGTGGCCGGATTGATATATCAATACCAGGTACCCTTCTCAGTTTCATTTGAGTAAGAAGGCATAGATAAATTCCGCTATAGAACAGCCATTCTTTCATAGGAAATTAAGACTGCATTAAACCTTGATTATAAAATAAATAAACAATAAAAATATTATTCATTTATTTTCTCTTTTCTTTCTCTCTCCCTTTTCTCTTATTCTAGTTGTATTTCCTTATCCCTTTGAAATACATCTAGAATTGTCCCCCTAACCTTGTCATTTGTCCTGACGTCACATTTTAGACCCAGGCTCACATTATTAGTAAATAGAACTACCAGATTCAGGGTAGCCAAAGTTCAAACAATAGGGCCATTACCCCATTTTCACATAATATAATTGACTGGTAGCACAACCCTCCCCTGAACTGGGTCCCTGCAGAGGAGTCACTTATTGGTTTATGGGAAGGTTTTGTTATTTACCCTTTGGTCACCCTAATTGTAAGACAATCCATTGGTAGAGTTATTCACATAGCCTCTCATAATTTTGCTTGGAGTTATCTAACCTGATTTGTACATACCTTTTGTCCTGGGAATCCCAAGAGAACATATTTCTGCCTTCCAAAATTAGAGCTCTATGCCAAGCCTTATTATTACAGAATTCTGTACCAGTGTGAACTGCATCAAAAGTTCCAGCCAAAGGCAGTGTTCTTCTAGAATTTAATTCAAGCCAAATAGACAGGAGAATTGTGTACCAATTTCTGGGATTTATGGACTTGTTTCCAAGACTCTGACTGGCAGAGTATAAGAAAAAAGAATGATATACTTCTGAAATGAAACAAGTATGTGTGTATGCGTGATCAAAATTAGAATCTGGCTTTGAGTAAAAATCATATCAGGTTCAGATGCTGCTGACATCATCAAAACACTGCATACTTGTTTGAGAGAAAGAGTACAATGTAGGGAAGATCCCGGGATACAGATGTCTAACTGTATCCTGGGATTGTCCCTAAATTGTGCTTAATGATTCACACTACATAAGGATATCAAGTGAGCTCAGAAAGAATACATAAGTCTTTTGCTAATCATTGTTGGTAGCCGTGTTTTGTACATAGCAAAAAAATGAAGGCATACCCCGATTAATTAATGCTATATGGTACTGGAATACATCTCAGCATCTATTCAACTCATACAACTGCAAAAGGAACATGCCGGGTTTGATCAAAAGAGTATGATGACATTCACACAGCCTGCTACAGTGTTTAACATCCATATGATCCAATGTCTGTCATCACAGTTTCAACCATGCCAAGTGAATGTCTGCTACTTCAACATGCAGTTGCCGCTGAAACGCAGTTTTAGAGGCTCCAATCTGGAGCTTTGACCAAGAATTTTGCTTCTGTAAAAGTGGAATTGGTCAGAATGGGGGCCACTTTCAGTGTAGGTTTCACTTTTGGCCAGTAAGCTTAGCCCACCAGCAGATTGAGCCTCTGAATCTTGGCAATTTCATCAGCAGTAATTGATACATCCTTACGGTACCGGTACAAGTTTTATCAAGGTCATCCATCTGACTGAATTGATAAGACTCGGAAATGATTGTACATACATTTTTACTTGGTTGAGAATAAGAGTAGAATTGAACATCCCTTGGCAGGGGAAGACTACTGACCCTAAAGAAAACTATAAAAAGGCCCTCTGGTGCTGTGGTGATCCTGTATCTCCCATCCTCAATCACTTTCAATAGGCTTTTTTATCAAGAATTTCTTGAGTGTTCAATATTCATATCTTTATTCAAAAGATGCTGCTTCATCCCGGTTCACTGGCCATTTATGGCACACTTTCAATACTTATTGCAGAAATACCATCTCAATGTTCTGGTGCAAGCTTGTCAAAGCGCAGTCCCAACCTTGAGGGAATTTATTCTATGTAAGCCTCCAAAAAAGAAAAACTTCCAATCATAAGATTACATATTATGTATTTAGTCTAATGTCCTTCACATACCTTTTTATACGGTAGGTTCAAAGGAGAAGAAGGGTAAGTAAAGCTCTCTCTGGGAAAAGACTGTGGTGAATTCTGAACTCTAAATTTGATAAACTTGGTTTATTCAAAGTTCAATGAAATCGATACATCAAATGTGTGTATGCAATTCCCAATCAAGTGATTTTATTTGCAATTATCACTTCCACCTGATACCCAATTTTTACCTTTTACATGTTAATAGCCTTGGCGAAAAAATGGGTGCAGATCCAAATAACCCTGAGAAGGTTTATCAAAGGTAAGTAACCTGTTCTGTGATCAAAAAAAGGTGTGTTTTGAGTGAAACAATCAAACTGATTTCGTTGTATTGGTAGTACGGTTAAAATTAAGGCCATAAGAAACGTTGCAAAGGAAAAATTAGGAGTGGCCCCCAAAGTCACAGATGTAGGTGCAAAGTATCTTCAGTAAGTTGATTTCAAAATTTTCAAAATTTAAGGACCATATAAGTCAATCAATGGATCAGTTTAGCTGACATTGGTTATCTCTATTAATTTTATCATCTCATGCATCGACCAGAAAAATTGTTGAGGGTGATCATGAGGGAGCCAAGAGGACTTTAGAGAAGTTTCCAAGAGCAGGATTATATGATGCATTTCGGGGAATTTCCCAACTGAATTGGTAAGTTGTTTGTGTTTGCATATATTGATTGCTTCTGGAAGGTAAGACTTTTGATCTGATTATAACTTCTTACCAATTTTACCAAGGGTGGAACTTTGGAAAATCACAACAGAACCAGGTTCAAAAAACTTTATAAGGGAGGTAGAGAGCGAGGCTGAAATCATGTATGTACCTATTAAGAAGTTAAATTTCCTAAAAAATAAATGCTGGGCTGATCAAGAACTTGCAACGGAATGCTTTACTGGTAAAAAATAGTCAAGAGGTAGACACAGCTGCTTACTTGAATCCAGGCATGACAAATGCTGATATGGAAGATTTCAGAAGATTTATAATCAGAAAAAAGAGAACTGAACCTGAGGCTGATCAAGAAGTATCTCATGATCTACCAGGAGATGAAAAATTGACCCCACAGGAGAAGATAAAAAAACAACGAGAGAGAAAGGTTAACCCACTATATGATGAGTGGAAGAAAAGCAAAAAGCCAGTTAGATTTTATCTGTTAAGATGGTGGAAAAAATTTGTTAGGGGATCCAAAGCTATTTATAGAAGATTCATGTCCCTGTTCAGAAAGAAGTCTGCATAATTTTACTCATTGTCAATCCTTTGATTCCCTCTTTCTAAATTTTCATGGCCATTATGTATACTCCGTACATTCTAAAAGCTTCTCTTCAGATTTGGTTTCTTTTTCAGGGTTGGATGCTTGGTTTCTGCATCATGTTTCAATATCCTCATATATGCCTACAAGAAATAGTGATTGATTTCACCCATTCTCTCAAATGTTGCATTTTATTTCATCATCACTTATTTCATGGTCCAGAGCTCCAAATGAGGCTTGAGAAAAATGCTAAACCCACTATTCATTTTGGTAATTTGGGCTCTGAAGTTGGTATTGTTGGTTCAAGGCTCATGTACCTCTTGATAATATTGTTTTTCCAAATTGAATTAAGTATGGTCAAGAAGGCAAAGAGGAACATAATAGAATCTTGATGGGATTAAGATACACTCACTTCAAGTCAGTTGTGCCAATGGCCTCTGCCCCACCCAAACATTGGGAGTTGAATTTACCAAAACAGTAACCCACAGCTGGGAGTCACTCCAGCAATCCCTTATACAGATCAAGGGTTGGTGGCACCAAATTTTTGGAAGCAAGGACTTTGTTTCTGCAGAAATTGAGGAGTAAACTGATAAAAACCACAAGGATCACATTGGTTGTGAAGTGCACCCTTGGACATGTCTGAGTACCACTCCAAGTGTCTGTCTTTCTTGTTACTCATGTTTTAATTCAAAGATTATTCTACTGGGCTAACTTTTAATCTTTGCTTGGTTCAACCTGAGTGCTGTGGCTCACTCCAAGCCAAGGAATCACAGCTCAATGGGACACTCCTATCAATATAAACCTCTTGTTCCCAATCACAGTTGGGGCTCTATCAACCTGAGTGCCAATAGCCTTCCCCTCAGTTTCTGAAACGGTTGTCAATGGGTTTGTTGAGCTATTATCACCAATTTTCATTTTTTGTTGCAGTCCCTCAAAAGAGCATGTCATTACACTTTCTCAATTGGTTTGTGGGATTTTCCAGGCCATACATAGCCGTGATCTTTGCTGTAAGTTTTCACAGTCACCACATCTTTCAGGTACCACAAAAGTACACAATTCTCACTGTTCTCAAATTTGAACACGTTCTTCAATTTTGACAAGGACTACTCTGTTCACATGGATTTATTCTCTTTGTCATTGATTCTGCAATCCCTTTCCTCATCTTATGCCCAGAATGCAGGAAAAATCAAACCAGAACAGCCTGTCCCACTCATTTTAAAAGAATGTACAAGGATCTTTCTGGTGGCCTGACAATCAATTCCAATTGGTGTTGGATGCATGATAAGGTTAAGGAAGGCAACAAATGTTACAATGTTAGCACATGGACTCAAGCTTGCTGATGAGGCACTGGCAAAGAATGTGTTAAAAAATGCAGTAAGTTTTCTATATAATTCATGATTTCCTTCCAACAATCCCCCCCTATTTCAGCTTTTGTCACAGGTTCAATGATTTACTGATTATTAATTTATTAATTTTGGTCTTGCAGTGATTGAAGGTGCCGGAGAATACAATGCTACATACAATGTCAAAGGAGATGGAAAAGATGGTGTGACTCTGAAATATGTAACCAAGAATGACAATGGTAGAAATTTTTATCTGAAAGTTTATTCAGGTTCATTGTTTATTTCAGTCCACTTTCATATTCTAAGCCTGTCACACCCCTATGTCTTTGGGAAGATTATGGAGTTATAAGGGTATTCAATCAGACATGGACCACTGTATTTTCTTTTTCCTCATCAGAGAAAATGGTGGGCCAATGCATTACCATACAGTATTTCAGCCCCTTTGCATAACTTTTTTTCCCAAAAAATACTTCTTTGTTGGTTATTTTTCTCAAAAACACTATCAATTTTTTGATACTTAACAATACACAACTACCCTATAAGAGCTGTATGGAAAAAACACAACTTTTGTTGACTGTTGTCAAGAGATTTTTTTTTTGAAGCCCTTGATGTTCACAAGATTTCAATGATGATAACATTGAAAAGTAACAATGATTTTTCACTTTACAATACTTTACCATACCAGTCAATCTATTGGCCCACAGCTGGTGTAACAAACCCTTCAATATTTATTCAGTTCATACTCACTTGGGAGAGTTTGCTTGGGTTGGATAGGTCATCTTTTTTCAATTTTGAAGCTTTTTATTTTTACAAGAAAATGAGGTTGTATGATTGTAAGTTTGGAGTAAATCTAGTACTACATGCAGAAGTCCATCAGTTTTCACACATTTGAAAACAGGATTTGGGAAGTGTATTGAGGTTTGTACAAAGAATATAAAAAGAAAAGGAAGCCAGAAGTTGTTCTTTAAATGTGATAGGTGGACCGTTTCTGTTTGATGCCAGTTGGTTTGTTAGCTGTAGTGGGATTCTTGATGGGTCCAATCTTGACATTTGAAAAGACAACCTCAGCTGCTGGGTTTCCAGTTAGGATATTTTGTCGATCACCAGAATTTGGATCACAAGGTCCTCGCTTCACACCATACTTGTCCGCAGAACCATTAGGAGGATAGATGCCATCAAGCCACTGCATTTTGTCTTCTTTATCATCCATGATACTCATGACAAGAACCATCCCATTCTTCATGGCTTGTCCCATTGCCTTCATCCCACCATGCTCCTTGAAAGAGTTTTGATCTTTGGTTATATCCTTGTTTGCTTGACAGAATTTGTCTGTCAATGAGTCAGCCTTTTTGTCAAGCCCTTGAACCTTTACCGGTTCATTTTGGATAAGGGTTCCATCCTGACGGAGATACATTCTGCGGACTTCTATGAGTTCCCCTTTGTTGGTATTGCCTTGGGTGATGAATTGTGTGATCACAGTAAACTTCTTGCTGGTATCCAATTTCTTGCCTTGACCATAGAAATCTTGAGCACCAAACCGATAAGAAGCAAAATCACAACCATCCTTGTCGCAAAATCCGTTGTATCTATTGGCACTGGTATCTCCACATTGATCACCAGTACATACTTTGGATGTTAAGGGATTGCAAGTATGTGACGTGAATGCCTGTGCAAATGAATTTGCCTCCCAAACGTCCATTTCAGGACAACAAACTCCCATATCACCTTTTCCTGAACCTTCCCCATCAGCCTTCCAGCCCTTGATATTGGCCTACAAATGATTTGAAGAATAACTGAGATTCAAGGACTTTTTACATACAGGTTCAGTCAATGTTGAAAAACAGAATAAAATACTTACTTGTCCTTCCACCCATTTGATATCCTTTGGGCATTTGGCATCACAATAACCAGTGCCGTACTTTGCCCCCGCCGCATTGCTTGGGTGTTTTGATTTACCACCATCCTGCTCCATGGATGTGAAGTATAGAGCTCCTTTGACACCACATGGCAGTTTTGACACATCAACATCAAATTCAAATTGCCTGTTTTTAAGCTTGAACATGTGGTACTTGTCCCCGCTGCTCTCAAGGAAGTACAACCTAGAACCAATGTTCTGGCCTTTCACACTTCTGGTTAAAAAACGCATGGTGATAGAGCCTTTTGCAGTTGACGAGACACCATATGTTTCTGCATAGTTTTCAGTGCCATCGATCACTGTAAGATCAAATTAAATAAACAAAAACAGACAATTGGTCAAAACAAAAGTTGTGAAAAAACAGAAACAGGACACTGTTTTTTGGAATGAAATCCAGAATCAAATCAACACTTACTGCAGGTTTTAGCACATTCTTCACCACTACCTGAGCAAACCGAAGTCCACGAACCTCCATCATTGCAATAGTTCTTCTGGTCTTGGTTCATAACATATGTTGCACGCCAATTGGCATCAATTGTCAGGCCACCAGAAACCTCCTTGCACTTTGATCCATTCCCACAGTCTGTTATGATGAATGAGGCTGGGTTTTCCGGCGTTTTTCCTGGCTGCTGGGTATTGGAATGGGAGAGTAACTGTAGAAGAAAGAGCAATGAAGATAGATCCATGATCTGGTTGGAATGATGCTTTGAAAAATCAAACCATATGTACAAGTCTGCAAACAATGAGAGTACTCGAGTATTTGAAGGATGTTATGTGTTGGAAAAATGTTGAAGCAAAGAAGAAGCAATCTATGTGCTGGATCAAGCAAGCACATTTATAAGCTCTCTTGAGGGGCAGTTACCCCAGCAGTACAAGATAAATAGTAGCACATGGAACACATCCTTTGTAACTGTTTTTGCGGGGCTTGCAAGTTGACAAAGGTCGGCGATGTTTGGAGACCGGAGTCTTCAAGCAATGTGCGACAGGAGTGTTTGAGTGACAAAAGGATTTCTAGGCTATGACTGAACGGTAGTACGAACAACATCGGACCGGTAGAACAATGACAGTGTAGATTTAGGACAGGCAGCAACGCAAAAAACGGGTCTATTCATGGCTGGAGTGGTAGTCAGAGCAGTCCGACGGCACACTTCACAACCAGTGATATCCTTGTGCTCGGTTTCAGTTTTCCATGACAGTCACAATTGCTGGGCTCGGACTGAACCGTAGTACGATCAACATCGGACCGGTAGAACAATGACAGTGCAGATGGAGGACAGGAAGCAATACAAAAAACAGGTCTATTCATGGCTGAAGTGGTATTCAGAGCCGTCCGACGGCGCACTTCACAACCAGTTCTATCCTTGTGCTCGGTATCAGTTTTCCTCGACGGTCACATCCGAGGTCTACGCTACTAGCAACTCAGCAATATCAAGAGATTGCAGCTTCTGCCGCCCGAGCCGACTATGTACGAGATTCGATGTCAACGCAACCCCCCTTTCCGCAACCCATTCGTCAACTCTTGATTCATCAGTGAGAATCAAGAACTTGAAGAACTCCATTACATAAGATGCTTGTTCAATCCTGTTGCGATAATCTATTTTGTCTTCCTTGATCATACACAAGGTGAGCATGTCAGCCTGACTTGAATGTGTGAGCAAGTTTTTGAAAGGGTTTTCCAAGTTGAAGGTTTATTGATCCGATCCAAATTTGATTTAGTTGAAGGATGGTATGATGTAAGTCAATATAAAATCATTATTAGCAAAGGGCATTGGCGTAGATAATAATGAATGTAAGTACAAGTTTGATCCATTTGATTCGAAACAGTCATTGGTCAGATCAGAGATTTCCCCCAGAGATCACTCCCTTTCCCTGCAAGCCCATGAGCTCCCTGTACTCATACTTCAAAAATGGACACATCAAAAAATGAAGATGTTAACAATCAGCACATCAAGAACGAGAGAAAGATTGTTGAGATAAGAAAAAAAAGGAAAGGGCACATTTATACTATTACTAAGGATTGTTAAGGGAGGATTTCTCAGTGTCCATATGTATGTACACAAATAACACTCAAGATCTCCTAGTCCCAACCAGAGGTGTGGTCACTAATTTGGCATGAACCAATCTCTCATCCCTAATTCTGCATGTCTCTGGATTGGTCATTTCAATCATGACTGCAGGAAACAAAAACATGCAGTTTTTTTCGATTTATGTAGCTGTATGAACATGCCAAGATGTCTCCAGAAAAAGCAAAAACAATCTAAAATAAAAGATTCATGCAAGTTTGAGCCACCCTAACATCCTATCATATTCCAGCCACCTGATTGTAATTTGGATTTTAATCTGTCTGATCATTATTTATATTTCAGCTTTGTGAAGAAAAGAAAAAAAAAACGGAAGGAAGAGAGAGAGGGAGAGAGAGGAAAGAAAGAAATCTACAGTAGATTTTTCCGCCAATTGAGCCATAAAGAAAAGGAAAAGAAAAGAGAGAATAACGATATATGTACATCCACATACAAAATATATACATGTGAATATATAACCATACACATACATGTTTTCTAGACAGGTTACATACATACACATATAAATGTATCTCGTATATGTGTATTCTGTCACCTGTGTGTGTGTGTGCACACACACATATATATGTAAGTATTATACGGAAATAAATAGACCCAAAGAAAGTTCAAAAAATCATCGGGGAAGAAGAGCAACATGGAGTGTAGGATTATATGAGACAAAATGAGGAAAGGAGGGTGTGGTTCATGAGGAGAAAGGGGGGGGGGGCAGACATGTGAGAAATGACTGGGAAGAAAAGAAAAAAAAAAGAAGGAAAGAAAGAAAGTCATTCAGAAGGAAAGAAAAGGAAAGAATATAAAAGAAAGATGTGGAACAAAAAGGATGGAAGAAAAGAATGGAGTGATACAATGAAGAAGAAGAGAAGATGGATGAGACACTGAAAAATGAAACCAATGGGGAGAGTTTTTTGGAAGGAAAAAAAAAGGGAAGGGACTTTATTTTGCAAACAAACAACAAAGAAACATTAAGAGAGTATTATCAAACAGGACAAGGAGGGCTACCATGTGGTAGGACCGAATCCTTCAGCTGGAGGATCAAGATACGGAGTACCTTGGAAATCATCAGTCCTACAACAAAAAACCAAAAAAAGTCAATGGAAGAACTCAGAGGAGGAAGAGAGAATGAAAGGACGAGAAGCAAGAGACTCACTCAAGATAGACGGTGTTGCCCCACCAATTGAGGGTCCCAAGTTGTCCGCCTCTGGGCAGTTGAAGGGTGAAGAAGATAACGATAGCGCCGATGACGGTGCCGACGTCCAAGCCCGCGGAGAGGACGAAGTTGTACTTAGACCACCATCTAAACTTCATCCTACGCAGGACGTATTGGAAGATAAAGCCGACAAGGATCCACGACGTGTAGTTGATCGGCGTCGCGGGGGGGATCCAACATGCACCTAATAACAAGACCGGCAGGTTCGCATACTTCAACCAACTGTTCGGAAACCGCTTCGTCATCAAATAAAACGGTATCGGTAACACCGCCCCTATTAATGTGAAATAGACAATCGGTCGGTAGATCGTTCCTTCCCCAAATTGTCGATGTGGTCCTAACAGTCCCCTGTTAAAAAAAAGAGGTTAGATGATTTAATGTACGCGCACAAAATAATACCTTTTGAAAAATTACTTTGACTTACCATAAAACAGAGGCGGAATAAAAGACAGAAGTATTAGGACAAGTGAGAAGATTAGCCTGATGTTTATCACAAAGATCAGGGACGGTAGCGACGAGGAATTTCTTGACGCCGATCTGGACGAAGGCGGATAAGATAGCGGCGACGATCTGGACGGCAAACGTGACTCTTGGCGGGATCTTCATGTAATGTCCCAGCTTCAAGTCTTGGATGAAGGCTAGACCGACTAAGAGCGATTGGACACTAAACGTTTTGAATAACTGTCAAGAAAGAATTGGAACCAAAAGCACCCCCTCATTAGCTTTGGATTTCTTGCAAATATGAAAGTGGGTTAATAGACTGACCATGTTGCTGAACGGTTTTCCTGGTAACAAATAGCCCGGAATGATCTCGGCTACTAGGTTGATCGAGATCTGTTGACTGGTCATCGCAAAGATGAATCCACCTGGTAAGACATAAGCTAGAGCGATGAACAAGGCCAACAGTAGACCCCAGATAGGCAACCCGGTATCAAAAACCTACACAACCCAACAAAATAGATCAATCAGTCGATTGAAAGACGGATTGAATGTACAAGAGAGACTGACTTCAATGATGATCATGCTAAACGCAGCAAAGACGATGAAGTAGCTCCAATACCACCAGTCAGGAACTTCAGGATAGTTACGCATCAATTTAGCGTGTACATCCTCATCCTCCGTCTTGATGTTTTTGATTTTATCCCAGATTGAATGACCATGGTAGAGTGCAGTATGGACGATGGCCGAGGTGGCAAGGGCAAAGGCGATTGAATACACCGCGGTGAAGGTCGTTGGCAGAAATAGGGGCGAGTATTCTCGGTAGGCCGTGAGATTCAACGTGCCCGTCTTGAGGTCGACTACCCGTGTGGTGTTGTATGGCTGACCGTATCGGTCGTACACTCCTGCCCCTCCGAGTGGGAGATACGCTTGAGACCAAGTCTGTAAAAATACAATGTTCATTCAGTCCCTGGTCACCCATCCAGAATCACCAAAAGAAAAGAAAAGAAAAGAGACTGACATTGGTATAATACAGGACCGGTCCAAGGATGTAGAAGAAGAAGATAAAGCCGATGATCACGTTGACCTCAGCCCACCAAGGAACGACCAAGGGCGAGCCAATGTAAGCGATCTGAGACCAATCGAAGGTCAAGAGACTCAAGCCAAGCCCATTGACCGTCCCAAACATTTGATTTAATAGTCGATTACCTACTCAATCAAAAATCAATCAACCATAAGAAATAGAAATCTTCCAGAGAAAAAAAAAAGGTTTCTACTCACGTGGTGCTAGCCAACACACCCAAGAAAAGGTCGAAAGTGCCGTAAACAAATACCCTTTAGAAAGTCAAAGAAAGCATGGTTAGGGAATATGTAATCCCAGGATGCCAAAAGAGAAAGATATGTGTATTTTGGATATGAACTGACCAGGAATCCAATACCAAACAAACGAGCCGACTGCGACATACATAAAGAATCTGAACCTAGTCAAGCTTCCATCTGAGCCGTCATCATCCTCGGCATGGAAGGTATTCAAGAGAGTACAGACAACGAGGTTGGAGGGCCAGATCATTGAAGCGGGCCAGATGAGGAACCTTCGAGTCACTCCAGCGAGGGCGAAACCGAGGAGTTGAGTGGCGAGGGCGATGCAGATGTCAAAGCCAGGTCCTGGTGGCCTTTGGTAGTATTTCTCCATGACGAGGGTCATGTTGACGGCATAGACTGGACCGACGGCGGCATTGGCCATGATGGCGATGACGGTATGTTCCTTGATGTTAAAGGGACCCGGGTTAAGAGACCATTCAGCGCCGGCACCGAGCCAACGGGGCCAAATCCGATCGAGGAACCCCTTGAGGCCGGAGCGTTTGAGCCCTTCGCCACCTGGAAGACGGTAGACCCTATCCGGTAGGATCGTCGCACATAACTTACCGGAGGGGTAGGAGATGATTTGGACGATGACCGGAGTGATGAACGGGGCCGGGTAGCGGAGTTGGAAGAACATATTCAAGGCGCCACAGATGACGACAAAGAATAGACCAAGCATCCATGCTCGGAAAGTCAGACAGGGCATCTCTGGGTCGTCGATGTTGGAGACCGAGGCCCGGACTTCTGGGTAGGGCGAGTCTTCTTCATCCATCTCAAAGTCTTCCATGTTATAGCCATCCAGTCCTTGAGAGAGATGTGACTGAGTGTCCGAGTAGAGTTTGACTTCGCCCATCGAGCCACGATCTGTAGGATTGACTAGTCACCAAGTTCAGAAAGAGAATATTTATATAGATAGATAGATGTATAGATGTCTGAGGCGTACCCAATTCTTTCATCCCTAGTGAGGAGAGTCCGAAGCTATTAGGATCATCGGGGTTGATGATCGAGGAGTTGAACTGCTTATCGGGACGATAGGCGCTATTAGGCTGAGATTGGGAGTGGTAGTAATCCAACTTATGGAGGCTATGAGAGGAGCCAGACTTGACCGAATCCCGATCGCCATCCTGAACTGCAGCAGCGCGACGGGAGGCGGCAGTGAACCCGGTGCGGAGTTCGATGACTGGAGCCTCATCGACAGAGTTAGCCGTCTTGAGTGGGATGGCTGAGCTGAATGCGCGTGGGTTGAGGCTGCTAGGAGGGGTTCCATTGGTCAGTTTGCGTAGTCTGGTTTCTGGGTTCTGATGATACTGGGCAATGATTGCTGCAGCAGGGGTGATCGAGGTTGGCTGTTGGGTGGGTGGATAGGGATGATTGGAGGGGGCTGAGTTGGAGGCTGAGTAGGATTGTGAGTTTTGAATGAAAGATTGTGAGTTAGGCTGATGGTGGAGATGAGGTAGCTGTTGTTGTTGTTGATGTTGATGGTGAAGTTGTTGTTGTTGTTGTTGTTGTTGGGATTGTTGAGGCTGATATGGTTGATAGATTGAGGGTGGTGATTGGATTGGCGGGAGTGGATTGGTGATTGAGTTTTCGGGTGGAGGTGCGAATGAGAACATTCCCTCGTCCTCATCCTCCTCTTCCTCCTCCTCCTCCTCGATCCGACCTGAGTCTCTCCTTCTGCCATCGTCATTCTCGTCATCATCTTCGCTCTCTCGTCGATCATCTTGATCTCCTTCGGTCATTCCGTCGTCCCACTCTTCGTCTCTATACAGATCATCATCCAATTGGTTGTTAGTATTCCTCGAGACTGCTGTTGTCGGTCTTCTGATGGTCGATGCTGCCGTTCTAGGTCGATTGGATCCGGGTGGTATTCCCGCTCCGTAGGCCATCTCGTTAGTTAGGGTTCTCTCTAATGTTTTATGTAGTTTTCTCTCCTAGTAGATCTCTGCGGGAGGAGTGGTCAACAGAAGAAGAAGGAGGAGGAGGAGGGTGGGGGTGAAGAGAGAGGTTTAATATGATGGTGTGTGGTCGGTCGTCAAGGGTTTTGCTGTGTAAGTGACAGTGCAGAGTCAGTCGGAGTGAAAGAGCGAGAGAGCGAGAGTGGCTTACATGAGCACTCGACACACTGAGGCTCGGGGGAGACTGAAGAGAGGCTTACATACATCTCAAGGGGGGTCTTACCTAACAACGGGGCAATGGGAAGAAAGAAAGAATTAATGACTGGAATGGCCGAGCTGGACTCGGAATGAGAAGAGAACCACATAAAGACTTCCGGCGAGAACTACACTCACGCGCAGAGCTCGGACTACATAAATCTCCGAGGGGATTCCCCATCAACTGATCAATCCCACAAACACACACACACACATCATCCTGATCATCCTTTGCTCCATCCAAAAACTCTGTAATAGCTGTACTCGATCACTTCCCTACACGCTCTGTCCAGTGTCTATTACATACATAGCACCTGCATCGTCATCAGTCGGCATCAAAAATAAAAACGAAATACCCAAGCTACTGGGAATACTGCTGTTTGGAATTCAAAACTTCCTGTGATCGATAATCAACAATCGACCGAAATCTAGCGCAATATTGCTCTTGGTAAACGTCATATACATAAATATGTATACCCAGGCCGGAGCTCATGAAGAGGAATAAAGTTATTGACTGTTCACACTTTATGTACAATTTATATGAGATTGCTGAGGCTACATAAAACTAACTACCCAAGTGTAAACCATTCTGAGGGCTGGGATCAAAAATCAAGAGTTTGAGCACCCTATTGTAATGAGCACCCTATTGTAAATAATGGACTTCAATTCATCAGGATAGCTTTGGGAATCCATCACATACCATTTCATTTGACAGAGGCTTCATTTCACTCACACCCTTTCTGAATAACCAGGGCTTAGTCCTTGCACAATCTTCAAGAAGTCAACAAAAATAAACAAAGAGATAGTGTTTGTGTGGGCTGATAGTAACTACAATTTGTGACTGGGGTGTTGGGGGGGGGGATCTTGGAGGTAGAGCCTTTAGGATCTGCATAGTATTACCAAACATAATAGAAAAGCCTTGATATAGGGTCTTAGCTAATCGACTCCCAAAAAGTGGAGGATCGACTCCCAAACCCCGAAACCCCTGGAATTTCCTCCGAAATCCCCGAGGAATGGGAGTCGATCCCCCAAACCCGTCAGCAGGTTTGGGAGTCGAAAAACCAATGATTTTAATAAAAAAAAAGCCACCCCCCGAAGGAGATGGGGGTTGATGCCCCAAAACCCACTGGGTTTTGGGTGTCGATTACCAAAAAGAGCCCGCAATGGCCGGGAGGATTCCTCCCGGCCGCTGATGGCACACCCTCAGCGGCCGAGAGATACACTCTCGGCTGATGAGAGTGTACACTCTCATCTAGAGATCGTTCCCCGGTACCCTTTGCTAGGTACCTAGTACCGCTTGGGGGGTACCCTTCACACCCGCCCCGCACCCGTC